AAATACATCAGGTAAGTTCAGAAACATAATAATATGTATACTAGTTTGTGTATTTACCTAGCGTTTATCTAGTGGTTCCATACATTTTCTGATTTTTATCATTTTTAATTTAAGTTGAACATTTGTTAAGATCTGTGTGAATTCATCTATTATTATTTTATGAATAAAGTAAGTTTTCATATATTATTTCAAATAAAATGGTGTAGCTTCTAGGATTTTTTCTTTTCAGAATGAATAGAAGTTCGAAAAGCTTCAAAATATTGAGCAAAGCTCTTATAGAAGGCAATAATCCGAGAACATTAGATCTGCCTCAAAATAACTCTAGTCAATCTGATAATAACGAATTAACTCTTATAATAAACAATCTACAACAGAAGTGTTTTAAAGCTCAGGAAGCCCTAAAAGAAAATGTCGAACCCTGACCTAGGTAATGCAGATTTCGTTACTGAAATAATAGATAACACTGGTGATTTAAGTGTCCTAATAGACCTAGATTGCCTAAATAATGTATCAATTATTGAAGCACAAGAAAGAGATAAAAGTATTGTCGATCAGAATGTTACTTCAAATAATGATTTGAAACAAAATGACAAAAATAGAATGAAAATTACTGAAGATGGTTCAGATAAGAATTGGGTGGAAAACATATGCAGCTCAGAAGACATCCAACATATTTCAGAATTAGATTCAGAGGAGGAAGAAAGTTATAATCCAACAAACAAAAAAACGAAAAAAAAAAACAGACCGAGCGACATAAACAACTGGGAATATAATACGAATGAAATAAAAAAAGAGAGATCTATTTCGGAAGGAGAGACAACAAATTTGTGAAAAAAAGTGGAAAGAAAATAAAGAATCGACGCTCATGTTCAATTGAAAAAAATTCTTTCAGTGTTACAAAATCAATTGAAGAGGAAAGACAAAACATTTTTAAAAAATTCTGGAATTTCTCTTGCAAAGAAAAACAGGTCTATGCTTTAGGAAGAACGACGACAACTGAAACTAAAAGAACGAGAAACAGGAGAAATGATGAAATAAGTCGAAGAACTGCATCTTGCAATTTTTTTATTGATAAGACAAATGAAGATAGAGTTAGGGTGTGTAAAACTATGTTCTGTAACACGTTAGGAATGTCCTCAAGAAATATTACCATCTGGATTCGCAAACCGCTTTTGTATCCAGAAAAAAACATATTGAAGGACCTGAATATCCTAAAGATCCTACAGAATTGAAACATAAAAAAGAATGGAAAGGAAAGCATCAATAACAGAATTTGTCGACTGTCTGCCTAAATTAGAGTCAGACTATTGCCGCAAATCAACCACTAAATTATATTTGGAGCCCCGATGGAGAAACAAATCTAAGCTTTACGCTCTGTACAAACATTCCTGGTGCAAGGAAAGAAACATTGATCCAACCAGTATGACCAAGTATAAATATATTTTTGACGAAATTAATTTATCACTTTTTTCACCAAAGAAAAACGAGAGTGAAGTCCGCGCAGTCTACAAAACAAAGAACCTTACCGAAGAGGTCTACAAATGTTTTGAAGAAGGAAGAAGATCGAAATGAAAAAAGATCATCTGATAAAGTTTTCACAATGGACTTACAATCGGTACTACTCTGTCTCAAGTCAAACGTTTCGGGATTGTATTAGAAAACCTACTTAATTGTTCATAACTTTACCATCTTTAACTTATACTCAAAGGACGGGTATTGCTTTCTATGGCATGAGGGGGAAGGTGAGCTAAAATCTAATTGTTTCACTTCAGTTATTTGTCATTTTTTAAGTAAAAAAAGTATTACCAACCATTGATTCAGATAATAAACCTACTATATTTTACAGTGACGGCTGCGCGGCACAAAATCGCAACTCTATTTAGGCGAATGCTCTTTTAAATTTTGCACTTCAGTATAATGTCTGCATTATTTAGAAGTACGTAGAAAAAGGCCATACCCAAATGGAGTGCCATTCAATGCATTCCTCTATTGAAAGGAAAATTTGTGGTAGAATTATAAATGTACCAGCTGACTATGTCTATTACGCCAAAACTGCTAGAAAAATACCAAGACCGTATGAGGTTGAATACTGGTCACATGGTTATTTTAACGATTTTTCTAAGCTTATTTTTTAATTCAATTCGCACTGGGGATAAAGTAGGCGATCCCACTATTCAAGACATAAGAGCCCTAAAATATAAACCCGATGGATCGATCGAATTTAAATTGTGACACTCGGAATATTTTCAAATGTTGCCAGTTAGACTTGATAAAAACTTGAAATCCACAACAATAGCCAATCTTCCATGGCTGTATTGTAACACGTTAAATATAAAACGTTCAATCTTTTAAAAGCACCATGGAACAAGATTACCATACGTTTTATGATTCCTCGAACACGGGTAAATAGATTATATTTTCTATTGTTTATTTCCCTGTTTGTTCAAAACAATTATTTATACTCATACTTAAAACACATTTGCACAAAAATGTAGCTTTTTTAGCAAAGAATATTTTGAGTTATTTTCCATGTTTCCTTTGTTTTTTATAATTCAGAACTCAGGGATCAAACTTCTAAGGGTTATTCAGTGTAACAGTAGAAAAAATTTGAGTATAGGGACCCATATCTGGAAAAGTGTCACTACGGCCCTAAGACGCGTTAAAATTTAGAAAGACGATGAATTGCCTAAATAGGATTTAATGCATTTAATTTTTGCCTTTTGTACATGATATCATCACAACAATTGTCCAAAATGTCTTCCTCCAACCTGAATACACGTTCCTGTGGGAGCATGTAAAGTCTTTGGTTTACGAAACTCCAGTAGAAACAGAGCAAGACTTAATTGGACGAATTATAGCAGCATTTGGAATCATTCAAACTGAGTACCAAATTTTTAGTCAAGTCCGCCTAAATCAGGTGCGACGTTTAAATCGGTGTATTCAGGTTTGAGGAAGACATTTTGAACAATTGTTCTGATGATATCATGTACAAAAGGCAAAAATTAAATGCAAACACCTTAAGTGCTGACGACGCCAAATGGCGTGATGCGCATAGTACGTGCGGGGCTAACGACGCCGTTTGGCGGCACCGACATTGCTGAATTAAATGCTTTAGTACGCGGTTAGCTTCTGAGCGAAGGTGATGTGCGGTCGTTAGCCTGTAGTATTCGGGTTCAACATGGACGGAAGTCAGGCGGGCCCTTCGGGAATAAAAAAACGTCGTAAAGTCGAAAAAACGTCTCGCGATAGGTACCCTTTGACAGATGAACAATTATTGCATTATTTAATGGATTCTGATGATGATGTTGCGGATCCAGACTACTCGGACTCAAATTTTAATTCAGATACAGAGGACGAAGACAGTGATATGGAAGAATTGAATATTCCAAGTTATCCAAGGGATGATCTGAGGCCTGCTCTCCCCGTAATGTGGGACTCAGTAGAGGACGTCCCAATTGCTATTCCATTTTCTAAGCAAAGAGAGCTTTTAATCCAACCTGATGGTAAGTTTTTATTTTGAATTCATTGGGCCATTTTTTTCTAAAGTCATGTTTTATTTCAAGGAAACGCTCCTATTGATTTCTTCAACCTGTTGGTGACTAACGACCTTCTTCAAATGATTGTTAGAGAAACCAACGCTTATGCTGAAGAAGTTTTTTTATCGGATACAACGAAAGAAAAATCACGTATAACACGTTGGAAAGATGTGACTCTGGATGAAATGAGAATTTTTATTGCATTGGTCATTCATATAGGCTCCATTAGACTAAATCGCCTCCAAGATTATTGGAAAACACATTGGTTATATAATCTACCTGCTTATAAAGAATATATGAGTAGGGACCGATTTATGCTTATTTTTAGATGTCTGCATTTTGCAAGAAACCCTTTACCTGGTCTGGGAAAACCGGCTGATAGGTTGTTTAAAATAAGACCAATAATAAATTATTTTAATTCAAGGATGAACGAGATTTATTACCCAGGTAAAGAATTATGCCTAGACGAATCTATGGTACTGTGGCGCGGAAGATTAGTATTTCGTCAGTATATAAAAAACAAAAGGCATAAGTATGGTGTGAAATTATACCTCCTTACCGAGCCAGACGGACTTGTATTAAAATTTTCGTTATATACTGGTACATTAGATAATTTTGGTGGTAAGGGCCATGTAACTAAAGTAGTCCTGCACCTCATGGAAGAAAAGTTTGATACAGGTCATTCTGTGTATATGGACAATTATTATAATAGTTATGACCTGGCTACAAAATTACTAGCAAGACAAACATATTGTACGGGGACTATTAGAATAGACAGAATAGACAATCCAACAGATGTGACTGGGGCAAAATTGAAAAAAGGTGAAACAATTGCCCGGTATTCTAATGGCGTTATGATCGCCAAGTGGAAGGACAAGAGAGATGTTTTTTATGTTTCTACGGAATTTAGAAACAATTTACTTAATTATTTTAATAGAAAACAGCAAGAAAAACAGAAGCCAGAAGCTGTTATTAAATATAATTCCTATATGGGAGGAATCGATAAAAAAGATCAAATGATGGCGTATTACCCATGTGAACGGAAAACGCTGCGATGGTATAAAAAAATTGGAATCCACATAATCTACATGAGCCTAATAAATTCCTACTTTATGTACAAAAGATTTGTTCGTCCTAGAATTTCCTTGTATGACTATCGTTTAGGAGTTTTGGAACATTTATTGCCCGAAAAAACAAATCGAAACCCTGAAAGGATAGATCCGAGCCTTCACACTCCAAAAAGGAACCTTCAAGCGGGAGAGAAGAGAAAACATGCTCGTAGAAGATGCACAATTTGTAGCCAAAATAAAATTAGAAAAGATACAATTTATCATTGTCCTGCTTGTCCAGGGACGCCAGCCCTTTGTTTGGAACCATGTTTTGAGATTTTTCATAAAAAAAAATAATTTTTTGAGTTAATTTTTGGCCATGATTTTTTATTTTTTGATAAATTTGTTTATTATGTGTTGTTCTAGTATTGTTAGAATTAGTTTGGTTTTCGTTTTTCTGTATTTTATAAAATGATTAAAATTATTTGTGTTGAATTAGAATAAATAGTATAATATAAATCATGTTTTCTTACACTAAAAACTGGCATAACGCCTTTTGGCGTCATTAGCCCCTAACAAACTTTTTATAACTAGAGGCTGACGACGCCAAAAGGCGTCATTGCCCTTTTGACGTCGCTGTTATGTTTTTTTGGTAATATATGTTGCTTTCATGCCAGTATTAGCCTAAAGTTTTATTATTTTCCAAAAAACCTTCTCAGCCTCTAGGGTCGACTTTCGAATTTTGTTAGCAGTGAACGTGTTAAATCCTATTTAGGCAATTCATCGTCGTTCTAAATTTTAACGCGTCTTAGGGCCGTAGTGACACTTTTCCGGATATGGGTCCCCATACTCAAATGCTTTCTTCTGCTACACTGAATAACCCCTAGAAGTTTGATCCCTTAGTTCTGAAACACCCTGTAGATAAATTTAATACTGAACAACCAAAAAATGAAAATTGCCCAATTCCATCCGACGAGTTGATTTAACGAGGGAAATTTGCGCAAGTCCATTTTCGTCACAAAACGTCAAAAATTGTTTTCTTTTTTATGTATAATAGGTTTGATTAAAACTTATAATGCAACATCTTAAAGAATACCATCGTTAAACAATAATATTACCGTTTAAAACAGTTTTTATTGTCTCCTGTAAAATTTACTTTTTTGGACTTTTCATATGATGGTGACGATTAGATTATGTTTTGGTATTGTTTTCCCCGAGGTTGGTATCATAGAAAGTTACTTGACTTGAATAAATTTGACCATATACTCTTGCTACCTGTTACGGTGAAGAAATTTATTTGTATAAAACGGCTATAAAGTGCTACATAAGACCTCACTGGCAATAAGGCCATGATGTCAGATTTTTATTTTATGGCAGTCTAGTCAGTTTCAGTGTAATCACAAAACAAAATTTGAAACGATCATGATGGATGGTTTAGTTTCAAAATTGCTCTTTTTCAAAAAATATTTAGTAATAAAATAAATAAATGGGAATATCTTTAATAATGATTGGTGTTATAATTCTATTATTCAAACCGATAGTTCCATTACTTATTCGGTCAGATCAATTCTAAAAATATCATTTGGTTAAACAATCTTGGAGAAATAATCAAAGATTCATGTTCTATTCTGTAATTTTGTAAAAGATGTATTCAGAAAAATGTTAAATTCTTTGGTTCGCAATGTCTTCAGTTATCAATCAGACATTCGTTTTAGCACTCATATTAATGTAATGTAATGTAATATTGTTCACGATTTAGTTACAAGTCAGAATTTGATAAATATAAAATAGATAACATACGGTTAAGATCAAGTGAATTAGAACTCCACATCAACTAAGATTGAAAAATGTTACCTCTACTACCAGTTGAGTTTTTCAAAATAATCCAATCTTTACAGATTTCAAGACTTACGTCTTGAAATCCGATTGGGCCTTTTATAAGTTTTTACATGGTAGTGTTTATTAACGGATTATAGATAGCCTTTCTGCCAACATTATACTGGACTCTCAACATACATATATGCATTCAATATGAGTGCTCAAAATGAATGAATTTGTACTTTTTAATATAATTCAATGGATATAGAATAATAATAACTATTTTACTCAGTCTTTACTTAAAACACATTAATTGTGTTTAACACAGCCTATCAATAAGAACACACCCAAATCATGCATACTAAAAACCATCTTTTAGAGCACATCCTTACTTCACTTCCAATAATATGAGATATTACTTTAGCCGATAGTGTATAATTACTTTATGCAAGCTTGATACCATTCTCAGCTATTACTGCAACATTAGTATCTCCAGGTTTTTATGTAGGATGGTATCTTTAACAGAGTTAAATACCACCTTGATGTTTTCTGTATCAACAGCGGTGGTGAAATGGTGATATAATGGTTTCCTGGGATCCCGTTTTACCTCTGTGAACATGTTCAAGATGAAGTCCTGGACGTCACGCATCGAGTGGGAGTTGCCACGGAATTGTGGAAAGTACCTTAAATATTACAAAATGTTTTAACACAATTCACTATTATCCGTAAGAACTTTATAAACACGATCTCAAGCCGTTTTATTATCTCTTTGGGATATAATGACTTTTAAGCTAACTTTTGGCCAAACAGTACGTGTACAATTCAAAACGCTATTTAAAAAAATACTAATGAGGAATCTATACTCTACTTACCAGCGTATATCAGTCTCTGGATTAGCGACCTTCTTGACCAACAGGTCGTACTTATTCAAAAATAGGATGATGGATACTCCACTGAATATAATGTTATTAACTATGGTATCAAATATATCTCTTGATTCTTCTAACCTATTTGTTTTTCTATCTTCTAATAGCACCTGCAAACAAAAAATTGACATCAAACAGATGGAATCCGAACTACCTACAGACTGACATCAATTTTAAATCAAAAATTTTGATTTGATTTCAAAAACATTAAAAATATATCTCTTCTTTCTGCCTTCTCACACACGTACACTTTCCCTCGCCTATAAAATTAATCGAATAGTAAAAATTTATACTCGAACAGAACGAGCATCAAAGAGTGGCTTTCCACACTTTCGTCTCGATGATACTAGCTGAAAAACATTTTTATTGTCTCTCTCTCTGCTGAGAAATAGTATCGATCCTTTGTACCCACCTGATCGAATTCCGAGGAAGATACCAAAAATAATATAGAAGTGACGGAATCGAAACATCTAAACCATTTTTGCCTCTGAGATCTCTGCCCGCCTACATCTACAAACAAAAATGGGATGTTGTTGATGGGTATCACGAACTCTGTAATGCCTTTTGTTGCCTTGCGGCAGTGAAGGATGTCCTTGTTGTTTGGTACATAATCCGGCCTTGATATCCTGTCAAGGTTGTTGAGGAAATACTCTACTGAATCGCTCTGTAACAAATTAGTGTGTAAGAATAATTCTGGAAGAGCCAATTTTATTGTAGTACTAAAGGGAGTGCGGTGAAGTGGCTAAAGCTTGATACATCAGATTCGGACATCAAGGTGTCGAGAATGTGAAACTTTCTATCAGAAAAATATGCCTGCAGTTCTGCTGTACTCAAGCACTTCAAAACTGGTTTCAACAATATCTCTTTGGGTGGTAGTGTGGTATTCAGGATTTGCATTCACTGTTGTTTCAGTCTAAATAAACTCTCTATACCTGATCAAGCTAAATGTTTTCCAAAACTTTGTCTTTTTGTGAAGCCCCCAAGTCTAACAATATTATAACTCAAGAAAAACCTATTTCCAATGGTGTCCTTCATGGATCTATCTTTTGTAGCTAGATATATCCTTGGGATATTTTTTAAAGAGACTTTTAGATATTTTGTATTTCAAACATTTACGACCTTGTATTACTAACATCTTTTCATAAACAATATCCGAAGGTACCCTAAAAGTGTTATATCATCTTCAAATGCAGTAATTTTATTCCGTTCCATCAGTAGGTCTCGATTTCTCATAAAAGCAACCGATAAGACCGTAATCTCACGTACTGATTTGGTCATTCGGTTCACCGCGATTTTTCTGATGTGTGTATATTACGATGTGTGAAAGCAAATAAACTGAGTAATAACCCCATAGTTTGGTGATGATACGCGTCATAAATGTAGATAACGATATTATGCTGTATGATTCAGACGATAAGTATGATGAGAGAGAAGAATAATACAGATATTGAACTTTTTTTAAAATTGCTGGTTTGCCTTGAGTGATTTATATTATGATAACATAATTTTGTTTATATTCTCTAATCACTATTGTAAAATATGATATTTCGTGTGTACTGTTTTGATATTAATTTCTCTATTAACTCAGCCAACAGATTTCCAAAAATGTTAGCAGCATTCTCTTTCTATGTAACACACTCATAATAATAGATGCAAATCATAATATGCTTTGTGGATAAAATCAACCGGTAAAGTAGAAAAATTCATCTTGCGTAGCTGACTGGGGATGTAACGAATATTCGCATATTTCTTGATATAATATGAAAATAATATACCTCTTATCATGGTTTTTTGCGGATTACACTGAAACAACAGGAATTAAGACCATACATATATCTCCCTCACACATACATATGGTACACATGTAATGTATCTACCCTTGTGTGTGGACCTTTCTTTGAGTAAGCTTCCCCACATACATTTTTCAGTTTTGTCTGGCCGCCTTAAAAATATTTTCGTCAACCAATGAGTCTTCTCGATGTATACTTGTCACTGCCAGTATGACCACTTGCTTATCAAGGGCGTGCAATCTGAATTTACCTTTTGGTAATCTTCGATATAAATCACATTAATGCTGGAAGGTACAACTACAATGTCAACTATCTGTGTTCAACTCATTGGAGTATTTTCAGTATGAAGACAATGGTCATCTACCACCTAATGGATGCGTCCTTAGGGAAATTAAGTTAGTTAATCGGTTTGCTTATTCCGCATGACATTGTGACGTAAATGCCAAAAAACGTGAAAAGACCTATAGGTACTTGAATAAAACAAAAAATATCAGTTCAAACAAAAAATCTATTCGCCAATAAACTTTTTCCTTCGTGTTATAAAGTGTCTTACAAAATGGTTCCCCTTTTTTTGAACGGTTCATATAGGCAAACTGAAATTTGTAAAAGTGACAGATGAAAATTTCAGAATTTTAATAAGCAACTGACAATAACAGATCAATAACAAGACACACTCTTACCTCTAGTTCCGAAATAAGATGCAATAACGTGCGTTCGACTCGCGCGGTCGGTTAAGTCTTGAACAAATGACACCAGATTTTAAAATTGAATATTCCCATTTGCAAATATCGACGGCTGATATTTACATTCCTTACATCTCTAGTGCTGACCTCTCTAGCATCTACGCGCTTATAAGTAAAAATCTGGTACACCAAATCTCAGTCAAGCTCACCTCACTTCAGTTTATTGCACGTTCGTTTTACCGAAACTATGTTCAAATAAAATTACATTTCTTTCAAAAGTGAGAGAGATCAGATTTGACAGTCTCATTTCTGTATGGACCGCTCACTTCACTTGCAAAACGAACCCGGCACAAATCTCAGATGTAAAAGAGTGAAAAATAACAGCGACATATCACAAAACATTACTACTGGAAGTCAACACCTATTAAATTGGTTATGCCCTATATATTTAAAAGTTCTTCCAGATATATAAATTACACTACCCTGTATACTTCTAAATTCTAGTTATTAATCAAATACTCCTATGATATTCAAAACGTTATCAGCAGTTGCGCAATCCACGTAAATAAATATTCATTGCAGGAAGAAAACTGTCAAAAATAACTGCATCATCAAATCCATCGATAATAATTAAAAGATCATTCACATCTTCCATGGTTGACTGGCATTGCCTCACTTGCCTATTTTAAGAAACGACTTCATTAATTTAATGAATTATGTATTAGTCATTTCGTTTTTTATTACTGCTGCACATACTTTTATACACAATGAAAGGGCGTCGTAACATATAGTTTTCAATGAATAAGTATGGCTCGTACTACCGCGTATATTCAAATTTGTTCAATATATTCTAGTACACTTTGCACCTCAGGTAATTATACTTTAATAGCAACAATACGCTAGTTGACACTTTTGCCAAGTAGGTCTTAAATAGTTAATATTTTTGTTCTATTAGATCAAAAAATAAATACTATATTCTTTTCAGACCTGAAAGACCCTAAAACTTCAATTCAAAAATATATTTTTCTTGGACAGGCTAAAACGCGGTCCGCCATGTTTGGCCCATATTAATATGCTCTGACGTCATACCATTTGTAAACATCAGCCGACAGCAACATAACCTCTCAAAGTTTCAAACATATACATAATCACTTCTACTAGTTTTCATGAAAAATATAGTAATTATCGTTATTGTATCGTCCGAGAATATAAAACACATCGATAAAGATCCCAGGAAAGCTGTGGATTAGAGTGACCAGGGAAATAAAAGAAGGGCTTGGTGCAAAAATCGGTCATTTCCATTGTTTATAATTTTACAGTATTAACGAAAAACTCTTCAAAGTCCGAAGAAAGCGGACTAACTGCATGAAAAAATGGTGTATTTTTTCAGTTCGATTAAAAAAAAATGGTGCTGGCCGTTTTATGCACCAAAATGAAGCATCTGGATTATTTCATACAAAAAACTATTTTATTACTGAACATAACGAAATATTCAAAACATTTCAATTTCGACGTTTTCGGCTTCACTGCAATATTGAACTATTTCCGGCCCAACAGCTTGAAATACTGTATCATAGTACCACATTTTTGGGTACATTTCAGCTAAAAATCGATAATTTTCTTGTTTTTTTTTGTCTTTTTATTTTGTTTAACGGGCAGAGGGTAAGTTTGGTACAGTTTGTCTGATGGTAACGAATATGTGGCGGACGATTTTTTCAAAATAAATTCCGAAAACAAGGTTATACCGGTAAATACACTAGACTTTACAACGTGAGACTTTTTATATTTGAAAATACGGTACTTTGGTATGGCAAACTTCTTTTTTATTGTTTGTCACATTTTTTAAAATGATTAATGGAGTGCTGGGTGAAGTTGAGGATTATATCCTGGCTCACTTGTACGAGTGTGAATTTCTTTGAACTATTTTTTATAAAGACTTTCCAACCCTTGGACGTATAGACTTCGAGCCCCTTCCCACTTCAGTTGGCCCACTTCAAGATTTGTACCAAAATATGCCTTTATAAACTAAACATAACGAACCTATTTACTTCTAAAACAATTTATTTTCTCAAAAACATTTTAGATACACTTTAGTCGTAAAAAATACATATTTGAAATCTCTTAGACCTATAACTAATAGAACATCTGAACAAATAAACAATGTGCGAATAAATGCGCGAAGTTAACAAAGCAACAATTGAAAGATTACCATTGGGTAATATCACCTTTATTTTTTATTACGGCTGAAATTCTTTGGGGCATAGTGTTAACCAAGTTTTGGCAAAAATTTGGTGTAAAACAATCCCATATTTCTTGAAGCTTTTGTCTCAGTTCGGTGATTGTACGAGCAGGATGTTGTCGTAGAACCTTTTTCACCTGGTGCCACAAAGTTTCAACAGGTGACAGATCTGGACTGCTAGAAACCCATTTCAAAAGTGGTAAATTATTTTCTTCCATCCATTTTATAGCCTTTTTTGAGGTGTGGCACGCTGCACCATCTTGCTGAAACACAAAATCTTGGCCGGATGTCAAACATTCTTCCATCACTGGTAAAAACGATTATTCTAAAATTGCCAAATATTTGTTTGTATCCACATTTCCATCAATAAAATGAGGTTTTCCGACTCCTTTTGATGACATACTACCCCAGACCATAATGGATGCTGGAAATTTCACTTTTCTCTTCAGTCAGTCAACATGGAATGCTTCATTCTTTTGCGAATAACTCTACTGCGACTGTCACCAACACAAACTTCGAATCGGGCCTCATCATTCCATTGTATTGCACACCATTGTTGAGGTGTCCATTGTCTATGTTCTTTAGCCCATCTAAGCCGATTTTTCTTTTGCAGTGGAGTTAATAGTGGCATTTCTTTGGAGTAAAAACAAGTTGTGCAACTTTAGGGTTTTTAAATCACTTTTTTTATAAGAAAACTTACCTTGCAAGTGCTAAATCCCAGTTTGTGGGTCTCTCTATGAGTTGTGGACCTCGAAATTCTCCTTCCAACAGTGTCACTCCACAGAGCACTTAATTGTAAATAATTGGCACGATTATTCTTCTTAATGCTCTTCGGTCGGCATTTGTGATATTACTTTTTTTCACATATCGTGGCTTAATATTAACTGAACCAGTTACGTTATATCTTCTAACAATATTTCTCACACTGTACCGCGATAAGTCTAACAAAGTTGCAAATTCCGAGTTTTTTCAAATTAAAAAATTTAATTATCAGTAACCGAATTTTCTCACTAATAACCTTTCCCTCTACCCATTTTGAAACCTTAACTACCCAAAACTATTTTAAACATATTCTGACAGCTGTGATTAATAAAAACAATTGTCATGGCTTTTATTTTTCACAGCCACCTATGCGTTATAGACTTATTTTGCATTGAAATGAAAATAGGTTGATATCCTGTAATTGCAACATATGTTATTTTTATGCTGCAAATTTGATTAGGGAGTGATAAAGTTGGTGTTTTCTACTATATATTATCAAAATATTCATTGTTAATATTTTAAACCCTGCTACATTTTTATTATTTGTGCTTGATAAGAAAAAAACTAAGATTTCAATAGTTGGGCCAACTGAAGTGGGAAGGGGCTCGTACTTCTTTTTTACGTTTTTCTTTTTTTATTACTCCAAAAAATCTGTCACAGGGTAAAAAGCTGTGCCCTGGCTCGGGAAACTGATGAACTATTATCCTTAAATTTCTTTCAGTAGTATGTAAAAACTGTACGAGCACCGAGTTTCATTTTGTGCAAAGCAATTATCAAAAAGATACAGTTCGCGAATAATGCGCGGAAGAAACGTGTTAAGGTAGTGATGCAAAAAGCTGATAACCTCGTTGCTTCCCTTTTAGCTGCAATTTCGTCTTATATATAAAATCGGCACTCTCCCGTTTTCGCGGAACGAACACAAAAATTATAAACCCACAACTGCCTTTTGTAAAATACGTCACCAGATGGAGTATGTGGTAAAGACACGTGCTGCTGGTAGTCAAAGCACAAGACCTCAGCAGATTCTTTATTTTTGCCCTGAGTGGATTTTTCTTTCAGCGAGGTGTAAAAAGTTTCCGACTGTATTTTTTACCCAGGTGGGCCACTACGAACATACGATTGTGGTCCTGAAATTCCTTGAAAGCAAAAAACATCCGACAGAGGATATCGGGAACGAAAACTTTTCAAACAGCGAGAAATGACAATTTTTCGCTGAAGTAGCCAAATCTTACAGATTTGATTGTTTGTTTTAAATTTATTTAGCATTAATGCTACAATGTCCATAATATCCATATTACACAGTATATCACAAAATATATATTATGTGTTCAGAACTACATATTTTTATACAAAATTTCACTACTATGAATTCTGGTTTTCCATGAGATATTTTTTCAATTTACCTTTGAACATTTTCAAACTGACACACATCTTGATATCATTACTTGATTGATTAAATTCGTCAATCCCTTTTGAGATACTGACTTGCTCATTATATTGCTACTGCAGTTTTGTAAATGAAAGTCTATACTTCCTCTAGTAGAATAATTGTGGCACTCATTGTTCAATACAATAAAATTGTGATTTGGTACAAGATGATTTTTTAACTTGAATATGAAAATGAAAACCAAGTAGGCTATGAAATTTTTGATACTTAACCATTGTAGTTCTTTCAGCATAAAATTTATTCTAGTATATTTATTTTTATTTAAGATGATTCTCATAGTTTTATTTTGTAATATTTGTAATTTTGAAAATAGTTTCATTTGCAGTGAACAAAATAGTCGAACAATACAACAAATGAGGAAGAATGATAGTGTTGTACACAATTTTTTTAGAATAAACGCTTAGGCTATGCGAGATTATATAAAAGTAATTTATTTTCTTCGATATTTTTGAAATAATATATTCGTAGTACCCTTCAAATTTTAATTCACTGTCTACCTATATTATGCCCTAATATTTAAATGATTCGACTGACACAATTTTTTCATGATTAATTGTACGATTTATCGTATTTTGATCTAAAGATTTTCCTATTAGGATATATTTTGTTTTGTTTGTGTTTAGTTTAGGTTTATTCACATTTAATTCCATTTTTCATCTCATTATTTAACAGCTCTATTGCAGTTTCCATGTCTTTGATATATATATTAATGTATCATCAGCAAATAGTTGAATTTTGCAGTGTTGTAAAACATCAGGAATATCGTTAATATATAAAATGAATAATAATGGACCTAATTTGATACCCTGTGGCACACCTACCGAAATGTTTTTAATGCTTGATAATGTATTGCCAATTTTAGTTCTTTGACTTCTATTGATTAAATAATTTTGTAATAAGTTGAATACTGAACCTTGAAATCCATAGTAATGCAATTTCGTTAACAATTTCTCCCTGTCAATCCAAGTGTTACTGTAAACTTTTTTTCATCTATATTTCGCCTCCATTCTTCTACTACCATTTGAATTGCTGTTTCAGTAGAATACTTTTCTCTGAATCCTGCTTGAAATTTTGTCAATATCTTATTTTCTTCAATATATTCAATGACTTGTTCATATATGATTCCTTCTAAGAGCTTCTCTACATCTGGCAGTAGGAACATTAATTGGCCGCATGTTTGTTTATAACTCAGAATTGTGCACTTTTGGAACAAGTGTAATTGTAGAACATTTTAATTTTGAAGGAAATTCGCCATACACTAAATAGTGATTCACTAACAATAATAACTTCTCTCCAATAATGTTGAAACATTCCCTCATAACCATTTTTGAAAGATGTTCACTAGGATTTATATTCGATTTCAATCTTGTAATAGCTTTTGAAAGATGGCTGATAGTTATTCTTTGGAATTGTCTCATAGAAGAATTATAAGTAACTTGCATGTGACATAGATTTGGATCCACATCTTTGATTGATTCCACTATCTCGTTTTTACTTTCTATAAAATAAGTGTTCATACGTTCTGCAATCAATATTTTATGAATTCCAAAAAAATGTGCTTTCCTATATAAGTTACATGTTACATTAAATAATACTAACTTTCAGACGATCTTTTGAAGTAAATAGGTCTGAAAGACACAAAGCACATATTATTATTGCTGCATCTACTATTAAATTACTTTTAGAATGAATCACTGTGACAGTGACGGAAATCCTACCAAACTCAACGTACCTGATTTTGGACAGGTTTTCGTCTTTGTTAGTACTCTATGGTTTCACCCGATTCATTATTGCACTTTAGCGTAAATATGTCACTTGTTATTATATTTCCAGCTGCCGGATTCGCCGTGACGTAACGGTGAAACATTCTTTACAAAAAAAAAAAATGGTAGCGGTATTTGGAAGCTAGGAAATCCTGCTTTCATGTGGTAAAATTTACATGTACTTCAAAGCAACATCACATCCTTGTTAGTGTCTGAATGCTTCTTTATCTTTTATTTCTTTTATTGTGTACGTTTCATTCATTAACAGTAAATTGAGTCAAATTGATACTTCCTGTACGGTCTGGTAATCTTCACTTTACATGTTTGGAACAATATAATTAGTAGAAGCGGCTAAAATATGTTGAAACAGCTTGAAGTGGCATACGCGCAAATTCCTGACATTCTGAGCTGCGAGAGAATCAGTAATTTTTAGCTCACTGAAGCACAACCGGAACTTGCTCTCAAATTCAAACAACCCAACTTTGATTTTATTTCATATATATTTTAGATATAAGATCTGGCATATAGTTGCAATAACGTCATACAAAACCCATGACATTTAAATTGCATATAACCTTTTGGAGTTATCAAATTAAATTATCATTAGGACTTTTTGTTTTACAATGACGTTTTTACTAAAAGCGTGTGAAATGGATTCACCATTTTTGCTTTGGTTTGTACGTATGCATTAACTTAGACCGTGCGCATTTCCCAACGACTTGCCTCACAAGATACAGCCACGTGAAATACGGCGAGCAATTACCACAGATACGCTTTTTTAAAAAAAACCCGTGATTTCTCGCAATAGTGCATTTTTGGGAGAATGGCTCAAGGATAGAGTTAACTCAAACAATCCACACCATTAACAACTTGAAGCAAAAACGTTTCTCGAATTCTTGGTCAAATTGAACCGCAATCGTTCCAAACAGTTATTGAAATTTAAGTTGAAGTCTGTTGAGCTCATCTGTAGAAACATTTGAGGTGCATATGTAAATTATTATTTTTAAAACAACTTCCATGCTTTCAATATTCTGATAACATAAACAAGTATGATATTTTTTCAAAATTATTGCTTTTATTCAAAAGCTCGAAGTACGTATTGTAAACGCTTTGCAACTCACCAACTGGAACTCTCTCCGCCTTTCGTATGCTCTGACGATAGCTGGATCCCGCCACAATCTGGCAAGAAGAGGCGCGAACTGTCCAAACGTTCGTGAGTCCAGGTACGTATTGTTTTCCGCTTGGAGCAATCGCTTTCCCAACTCCACATTAGCTGGTTCACTCCACGGTATATCCAACTTATTTCTGGCATCCACCAGAACTCGCATGCCCTTCACCAAGTTCTGGTAGATTATCTGGTGAAATACGAAGTGTGTTTTAGAAAAAAGAAAAAGAAAATGCAAATTATGATAAAAAAGACCAGACTGAATTTAAAGCGTGATTAGGGTTAAAAAGTGGCGTAAAGTAGTTTCACTGTACTTCCCAACCAATTCTCGACAAATGTTCATTTAATATGCAATATGCGTGGTGTCTCAGTCAACGTTTGCACACTCTGATATATTTATTATTCAACGGCTACGAAAATCCTTGCACCTTGACATATGATCGAGTAGTATGAGTATGAATAAAAAACCGTATTGCTGATTTAGAAAATTGAAATTGCGGACGTAAAATATGCACCATCTGTATTAGAGCGTTTTGGGATTCTTGCCTAACATTTTTTTTATCTGTTTTACATAATAAATTTGAATTATATAGAATGTTCTATTTGTATTTTAATGCTTGGCCAACACAATTAGTGAAGTATATCATTATAGACACAATACATTGCCGTTATAAAGTTTTTTATCTTTTTATGGGTCGGTGTTAATAAAACAGTTTTATTCAGCTTATTTCACCATTTTTCCCCTCCCAATTCTAGATCTCTTTTTTACATCCCTATTTAATCTGGATTTTAAAATACTTTTTACATCTAAAAAAAAAAGCTTGGCGCATCTGGGCACTTACACTAACTGGTGTGGTTAAATCCATTAACGATTTTAAATTATATTTGGTTAATTTTAATTGAAATTTTTGTAAATATGGTGGGATTCATTACATTTAATTGAAAAATCTGGGTTTGATTGTAGTATGCCACTTTCAGAAAGATCGTTTGTTCTGGAATATACCCCAGATTTTCTTTTGTCTGTAATTTATATAAAACATGTTCAATTATTTTATTCAACATCAGAATGATTATTATCAACAAAATCGTTCTCGAGTACATCAAGGTCCGAAATACCATTTACGCTTGCAATAGAATTTGGAACGTCTGCTATTCCAGCAGCATTTGTTGATCTGAAAATAGTCTCATCATTTCGCCCCATAAGATAATTTCTTAACTATCTATGTTTAAGTTGTAGAGCAGTGGGATGATCATAGAACCCTCCAATTGCTCGTACAGTGGAAACACGTAACTAATCATAAATTAAGCGTTAAAGCGCCATATAAAACCGTACGTTCATCAACCGTGTGAAAGTGACGGACTGATCGCATGTCCAAGGGTTTATCTTCTTGAGTAATAGTATCATGACTGTTGATGTTATAGAATAAATACAATTTAAAGTTCGTTTGAAATAATCGGCTCTGCATAATACACAACTTTTAACCCTTTGTGGACCCTTTGGATCGCAATTCATCAAGTTAGTGCAATAAAAACATTTAATCAACATCACTTGGACAACACAACGTCAAAGTTTGGAGCAAATCCACCATGATCATTTTTTCTATAAGAATGGTGCATGGTAGCATGGTCCTTCTGAATAATAAATCTTTCAATGATACCAAAGATGCAATATTAACAACCCTCTAACCCCTACAAAGAGGATTCTTAAAACGATCGGGAACCTCTGAAACATCAAAAAACGAAGTTTGAGCGATTTTTATCGTTTTCTTTTGCTTCTAACTCCGCTGCCACTGGCATGCTTTTTGAGCATTGCTATAAAGCTGGCTACAGACACAACCGCAAACTTGTCCAGCATGGTTGTTCAATCTTTTTGTACAAGCGCGCTTGAATGTCTGTAGAGAAATGTGGTACAAGCTTTGTAATTGTACAAACAGCTTGAGGATTGCATTGATTTTAATTATGCATGCTTGAATTAGGCGCGCTTGCGCAACCAAAACGGTGCATGTATACCCAAGATTTGAAAGCTTGCACAAGTTGGCGTCCATTGATGATCATCCTGCATTTGGATCAAAGATGATACAAAAGACAAAATGCTTAAATACGTCTCTTTATCCATTCCAAGATAGTTGTGCCAGTCACTTGGATATATTTTCAGCTCACTTAGTAAGTTATTGTGAGAACAGGTTTTCCTTTTCATCAACCATTCTTTACACCACACCGCACGCTTTTTATTCGGGATTTTCTTTTCTTCACCAGAACAAAAGCGGCCAAAGCGAGCTAATCGTCATCCGAGCTCGAGATATTTTATTAAACTACCTCTATTTTTATCAAGCATGCTTGTACGTGTCGTGCCAAAGGCAAATTCTACATACTTGTACAAAAAGGTTAAATACGAATGCTGGACAAGCTTGCAGATGTGTCTGTAGCCATCTTCTATCAAGATTCTATCAAACTCCAACTTCCAAAATATAGCAAGGCTAAGGATTAGCATACAGACAAGATAGACTGATGGAAATGAGTGACATAGTTTTCCAAGATGTACATGTCATGTGAAAACTAAAACACATTTTCGAAATTTTTCGTGATTACAATACCCACTTTAGCAAGTTACTCCTGTTGAAAAAATTGAATCTCAAAAAATATAAAAAAATATATAAATATAAATTACCATATTTGAAGTTGTCAAGCACTTAAATAAAGTTCACAAATTATATAAAATATTTGAATTTAGTTTAAAACACTGTCCTTGATTGTCGATTATATACTAATTTCTGTTGTTTTTCTTTTTATACATTAATTCATAATGATCAATCCATCAACATTAAAAAACTTGACTGTAAAAGCTGATAAATGTTGCATACCATGTAAAAACCAAAATATTTTCATGACAAACACTGAAATGGTATTTGCATTATTCTACTCTGGGGAACAATACATGCTTCTGCTATTACTAACCATACCATTATCATATTATTACACAAAACTTCATGTGAGAGGCCTAAAAGAGGTGAAACATTAAATTGTTTAAATATTTCATTTAACAATTATGCAGCCAAACTTTATAAGGCTTTCATTAGGGGAAGAGCTGAGATTACTCACATGATGAACTGTGCAAGGGGCTCAAGGGGTCCTCAGAACACGGTTTTTGAGGCCCCAGAGTAGATAAAACGTATGCTGCCAAAATCAAGATGTAGGGCCCCATATCAAGTTTGTGTGTGAGGCCCTACAGATCCTAGATCCACCACTGGCTTTGATGTGCATGATTCAACATTTTATCTACACATCAAGCCATGATAAAATAAAAGTATGTTTAGGTAATACCTACCAAAATAGACATTGAGTACAAAAACACTGAAAAAATATTAGTGAATCACAGAATGGTGTCTGTAAGGCATGCACATGAAAACTACTGGATAAGGCCTTGCCTATGGCAGCCAGTATAAGAAGGTATGAGGGTCAACATGAGAAAAGAAGTATGCTATATTATAAATGCATAGAGTCTATTCCAAGTCCTTTATTTGTGTTTCTTAGATATTACAGATGGTGAACAGTTATTGGTTTCTTTTGTCAACAGTTCAAACCTTCACCATATAGGACTTCGCCTTAATATATTTTCCTCCTCAGTTTGGTGTTAAAATAATGTCCATATGAATGCAGTATTTGTGGAAACCTAATTATGTGGTAATGGTTAGGTTTTAACTTCTAATTATTAACAGCTAGATGCTACATATTCCAGATATGAAATGAAGGTTATATTTAGATGACTGTACTCATAGTACATATTTTATCTCTGGTTTCCAAATCAATACTATTAACAAAGTTTTATTAAATATAAAATGTTTTATTATGAATACCATTCGTGCTCTTAAAAACAGACATTTGATTTTCAGAAAAATGTATTAATGTGCTTCATAAGCAATACAGGATTGTTCAATAATTAAGGAGCCATCCATTGTAATAATGAACATTTTGCTAGAAAGCTCATATATTAAAATAATCTCAATTCATTGGTTACACATAGTATCACTAAAAACTGGTACAGTATGCATTCCTTGTTGAATCTTGTATGTTAATTTAGGAATTTGATATCTTTGACATCACTTACAGATTTGAACTGTCGGTAATGAGAAATGGCAGTAGTGAAGCTAATAATCTGTGAATGGCAGTTTGAGGTCACAATGTTCAGTTCAGTTAACATAGAAAACTTTTGGATAAAACAATTAAATATTATCTTCCAAATGCAAGACACCCATATAATTAGGAACCAGCTATAAATATAACTGATCACAATGATTAATATTGTAGCTTATCAATAGACTTTTGGAAGACCTCAAACAGGTCTAGATAAGTATTAGCACATACGTTAACTGATTTACCTGTTGATATTCCTCTACGAGTCGTTGTTCGAAACGCACCCCATGTATGATTCTCATTTGCTTCAGAAAAGTGGATTTACCGCTTTCCCCAGATCCTAAGAGTAACAACTTTACTTGTCTCTTCATAGTCTGCCTATCTTTTTCGAGCATCTTGTCTATCTCATGACTCTTGTAACGCTGTTCAAGCTCTTCAGGAGAGAGTTTAAATCGTAAACACGGACACGGCCACATTACTGTGGACATTTTCAACTAATAACGATAAATTAAGAATTTTGTTGTTACTTGCAACATCCTAAGTCTCACGTGAATTGAGCGATACTGATTGACAGTGACAGTTGGTATGACAGTTCGAAGACGACAAAAGTAATGTCATTATGGGGTATGTTCCTCATAACGTACTCCAGAGCCGCTTTCCAGTGCTCGTGAATTGAGAGAAGACAGAATAGATGAAGCCAACCACAAGCCGCTATAATCTTGCCTTCTTGCTATCACTTGTGATCTGTATTATTCAGGAACATCTCAAATGTACGTTGTGACTCTAGATCATACATTATAAGTTTTTTACCATCCTCCATAGTCTGGTATCGGTTTAAGTGCGAGTTTAATGCAAGAAAAACAGATACGGTGAAAAACACAACCCAACTATCTTAACACATTGCCATTTTCGTTATCCCCACTATTTTGGAGCATATTATAACACTGAATAAAAAGCTAGTGCACGGGGGGCAGGGATCTTAAAAATGAGTTGCTCAGGTGCATGATACTCTAGAGCGGTGGAACGGTATTGACAGGTGGTGGGACCTACCGAGTAACTCTGAGTAACACGAATGAGGCACTAGAAAGCGGCTAAGGTGTTAATATTACCACCATGAAGGGTGCGCTCGTTTTTATTTCCTGGCTGTATGAGGCTCACACGTTCCACACAGGTATTACGTATCTTGAAAAGTGGCGTTATATCGATTTTTTGCCATCATACTCTTTTTTGACATTATGTAGGTTTTTCTACAAGATATCAAGTTATCACTTAGGACGTACATCCTGCTTAAACGTCATGGGGCTTCAGTTATTAATGTTTCGTTCTGATGTGATGTAAAATCTGCTTCAGTGATGGCATTACTGGAGGTCTGTATTGATGATAATTTCATTGGATTCATGTCTCAAATACACTTACCTGAGATTCAAAGCTAGAAATTAGTTGCGCATCCACTTTTTCTTATCCATTCTGGAAATTACATATGCAAATTTACCGAATTTAAAAAATGAGAGAAATAAGTAATAATTATATTCACTGTACGCTGTCGAATTACAATAAGCCATATACATGCTAATAGTAATTACACAAACGCGGGCGCCGTGGTGATTTCCCGTAATTCTTCTCTAAGTTTTTCGTATTTATAACTTTGAACATAATCTCTCTTCAGAAAGCACAACACAAATAACTCGTCGGACACAGCTAATAGATATACCTCACTGGCAGCATATTCAGTAATGATTTTCTCATACAGCAAATACCACTTATTTTATACACAGGCGGACCAATGCACATAATCATCCGGAAGCGATCTTGCTGTTCAACCAACTTTCTTCTCAGAAATGAAAACTACAGACCACTCGGCTTCACAAAACATATGCAACCAACAATGCGTGTAGTTTAGTTGAGTCATTCCTCCATAGATGGACGCTGACCCCGATCCTAGTGAGAAAACGTCTAATGACTGTTTGCACCCTAAAAAATACCTAGTCTGCAAGATGACATTTAATAGGTTTTTTTGACGTTTTATGGGTTTTCTACATAATACCCGTGCAGTTCTTTTTTGAGATTGAAAAAATCGAAAAGTCATAACCAAACACGGTTATGATTGGTAGATCGCTTAGAATTGCTTTGTGATCCCTAAAGTGAAATGTGAATCAAATCCAAGCGAATAACCAAAATTTCTGTGTTATTTACCGCAATTATAATGTTGTTTAAGATAACACACGAGTTGATAACGTTAATCGCGGTTCTGTTGCAAGTTGTTTATTTTAGAACAGTGAGTAATATATATATATATATATATATATATATGTATAATATACAGGGTGACTTCGAAGTTGAGTCATTTATTTTAACAGTGAGTAGATCTGATCAAAAGAAATGTTTTTTTCCTTTACCATTTTTCTGGTAAAATTAAAGTAACAAAGTTATAGCCCTTTGGAAGTTTGAGTACCGCCCTGTCTCAATATCATGTGCTCGTGTTTGGCAACAACGGATATAATCCGCCTTACCGGTTCATCGCATCGGAAACAAAAAAGCGAAAGAATTTGGAACGATGTTTGTACAATTTATTATTTTATTCAGTTCAGTTATACATACAGTCACTGTCAGTCGCGTGTGAATAGTGTCTGTTGCGTGGCTCAAACGAAATAAAAAATGACACATGTTTATGCGGATCGGTTTCCCAATCGAGTGCAACCAACCCCTCGTGCCTTTGTTAATGTAGTACAACGGGCTCGTGAATCAGGTGACTTAAGACCTCACAGGGGACCTCACGATCAAATACAGGTCCGCACTGAAATACTTGTCGGGAGGATACTTTATAAAACAAGGTAAAAAAAATTCTTTTATTTTTTTTTTTATTTTTACACACATATTTTGGTTTATCTTCCTTCTACAATCATTATCTGAAAATTAATGACTCAACTTCAAAGTCACCCTGTATATATAATTTCTGATTATTTTTATTATTAATTAATAATTGGAGCTTTTTAAGCTACAGCAGTGATATGGAAAGTTTAAAAAAGAAAACATCCATAATATTTATGGAAGAAATGTTTTTTATTCAGAAGATATTGTTCAGGTGTTAAATCACACAGAAAATCTCTTTTAAAAAAGTTTGTCGTGAAAAGAAAAGATATGACGCCCAAAATTTTAATGGTAGAACTATGGCTTTGTGGCTGTGCTAACTTCCAATTCTTCAAACTTTTCCGCATGCCAAAGAAAACATCTATTGACTTATCAGAAATGATAGGAAAAAGCGATAAAAAAGGTATTAGCAAAACCGTATACAGGTGGACACAATCCAGTGAGTTTATGTAGTCATATTTTTATTCTTGTGGTATATGGCTACACAGGATACTTTGTTAAGCATAGGAACTAGATGCAAAGTGTCCCCAACAACTTAATGCAATTTTAAAAAGAGATAGAAAGCTCATCTCCTTCACGACCAAGCGCCTAAGGTATAATCAAACCTCGCTACGTTTTAAAGGATGATGTCCCAGTATGTTTCTTTTTAAGTCGTCTTGTTATTTGTTGCACATTCACAAATTGTACAAATACTGTAAATAAATTACTATTATTATTTTAACGAATGTGTTTTTGCAACTTGAAATTATTTTAATTAAGCTTACCCCCAGCTTAAGAAATAAACTCTCCCCTATTCTCCTTGACTAACCGAGATTTCTTATTTCGGCAACGGAGAACGAAAGATTCTCTCGCTACTGCGCAAAATCGAAATCAGGAACATCATAACGAACTAGCAAAATAAGTGAGAAAGTGGTGGGTGAATGCTTATTAGGAAGTATCAAATTAATCTACGTGCCAATACTTTATTCCAAAAATTGTTTAATAAACTATAGCGGAAGGCGATTTTACTGTTTCGAACTTTTCAGCCTCTAAAGATAGTACCACGGCTGACAGTCAAAGTTGCCTCAAGAAGTCCTAAGATATTTTAATTATATTTAATTTAGAAAAGCTCCTTTCAGCTGTTGCAGTTGTAATCTAGATGAGAGTTATTAATACGAAGCATTTTACTATCACCTAGCCGTACAATCTAAGAGAATGTTTAATTTAGTGTACAGCCTAAAGACTTGCGAGGGATTGTGAATAAATAATTAGTCATTTTTTTTCATAGTTGAGTCATTTATTTTAACAGTGAGTAGATCTGATCAAAAGAAATGTTGTTTCCTTTAACATTTTTGTGGTAAAATTAAAGTAACAAAGTTATAGCCCTTTAGAAGTTTAAGTACCGCCCTGTCTCAATAATAATATTATGTGCTCGTGTTTGGCAACAACGGATATAATCCGCCTTATCGGTTCATCGCATCGGAAACAAAAAAGCGAAAGAATTTGAAACGCTTATCACGATGTCTCTACTACAATTTTATTCAGTTGTATTCAGTCAATGTGTCAGTCGGTAACGCGTGAGTGAATAGTGATGTTTGTTGCGTGGCTCAAACGAAATAAAAAATGGCACATGTTTACGAAAATGCTGAACTTGTGGACAGATTCTTATTTACGGGGGGGGAGTCTTTACAAAATGCTGCCGTGGCATCACGGATTTATGCGGATCGGTTTCCCAATCGAGTGCAACCAACCCCTCGTGCCTTTGTTAATGTAATACAAAGGGCTCGTGAATCAGGGGAGGGCATGCCGGTGCTCGAAGACCGCACGATCAAATACAGGTCCGCACTGAAATACTTGTCGGGAGGATACTTTATAAAACAAGGTAACATTTTTTTTTAATTTTTAATTTATTTTTACACACATATTTTGGTTTATCTTCCTTCTACAATCATTATCTGAAAATTAATTACTCAACTTCAAAGTCACCCTGTATGTAAGCTGGGGCTCTTATTATCGATATGGCTGATACGACTGTAGCTATACCCTATTTCACGACGTCTACTGAGGTGAACAGTTTGTATTAGTCTGTAACCGTTAGCAATAATTAATCTGGTGCAAAACCAGTAAAATTTGATTGTTAGCGTCTTTTTTGTATGCCAATGAGCTTTTCTAAATGAAAGAGTTGTTAGCAAGTACAAAATGAATCTGTAACGTACAAAAAACTAATACAATATACGGCTCTTGACCGGGACCTTGACGGATCCGTCAGAATTATGTGTATTTTGTCGATATGGGGAATTTTGAAATATTACTCAATAAGCAGCTGTCATTCTACCGTCATGCATACTCGTGAAAAAGTCAATAGGTCCTTGACTGGAGGTCATGTCTATTGGTTATAAACAGTCAAAATGTTAATTTATTGCTGATCTATAGTCTTGAAAAATAGGTTATCCACACGATTTCTTCGTAAATGACGGTTTAGTAACTAGTGTGTATACAGGGTGACTTTGAAGTTGAGTCATTAATTTTCAGATAATGATTGTAGAAGGAAGATAAACCAAAATATGTGTGTAAAAATAAAAAAAAAAAAATAAAAAAAAATTTTTTACCTTGTTTTATAAAGTATCCTCCCGACAAGTATTTCAGTGCGGACCTGTATTTGATCGTGAGGTCCCCTGTGAGGTCTTAAGTCACCTGATTCACGAGCCCGTTGTACTACATTAACAAAGGCACGAGGGGTTGGTTGCACTCGATTGGGAAACCGATCAGCATAAACATGTGCCATTTTTTATTTCGTTTGAGCCACGCAACAGACACTATTCACACGCGACTGACACTGACTGTATGTATAACTGAACTGAATAAAATAATTGTAAAAACATCGTTCCAAATTCATTCGCTTTTTTGTTTCCGATGCGATGAACCGATAAGGCGGATTATATCCGTTGTTGCCAAACACGAGCACATGATATTATTGAGACAGGGCGGTATTCAAACTTCCAAAGGGCTATAACTTTGTTACTTTAATTTTACCAGAAAAATGGTAAAGGAAAGAACATTTCTTCTGATCAGATCTACTCACTGTTAAAATAAATCACTCAACTTCGAAGTCACCCTGTATAATCAAATTCAAGCGGATAACCAAATGGAAATGGTATTTACCATTTTGGGTTGGTATTTACCCATCCGTTCAAGCGAGTGTAGCTATCAGTTTGGTTATAAGATCCGTGACGTCACGAATCAGCTGTTATATGTCATAGTTATCACTGCAAAATTGTGGTATTTACCCAATTCAAGAATAGTTTTATATTTCTGGTTATTATTTGAAATGTGACAAGTTAGAATTTTGCCCGGTATTGGATATTGTTATTGTACTTCAGCTTCATTTTTGAGAAAATTGATACAGGCTGACTTCAGTTTTACCATAAAGTGGAGCACCTTATGAGTTATACTCATTCCGGTTGTTGGGGACACTTTAAATGTAGTTCCTATGCTTAACAAAGTATCCTGTGTAGCCATATACCACAAGAATATTAAGATATGGCCATATAAACTCACTAGATGATATCCACCTGTATACGGTTTTGCTAATTTCTTTTTTCATCATTTCTGCTGAATCTGTGAATGTTTTTTTTGACATGCGGAAAAATTTAGAGAATTGAAAGTTATCATAGCTACAAAGCCATGGTTCCATGATTAAAAAAAAAATCTGAAAAAAAAACATTTCTCCCATGAATATTATGAAAGGTTTCTTATTTAAACTTTCCATACACAGTTGTAGACGAAAAAGCATCGATTAGTAAGTGATAATAAAAATAATCAGAGATTATATACGCGCTTTTCTAAAATACACAACTTGTAACAAAACCGCGGTTAAAACCAACGCGTTCAAGCGGTTCGTGTAACTGACGTCATCAACCCGTGTGTTATCTTGAACCATATTATAACCGCGGCACATAACACAGAAATTTTGGTTATTCGCTTGGATTTGATTTATGTTTTGTGGTAACTAGTGTCACTCCTCGGAAACGTCACTAACGTCAGCAACACGTCATTTGGTGTTTTTTTTGTAAACCATCTGTCATTTTTAGAGTCCGGCATTCGATTTCGTAACTGCATAGTGTACAAATAAGCCTTGTAAATACTAGATACATATACTGTGACTGTTGGTGAAGGTATCAGGTATATCCAGAGATTACACACCAACATTCCACATACACATAAACGCTAATTTCGGCGATGCAACCACTAGCATCAATCGCCCTTACCACCTTGCGTTTTTGTTTTAGATAGAGCCGTTTGAACAATGGCAGAGCCAGAATTGACTCCACCACCTGCCCCAATAATAAAATCCTCGAGTTCCAGCGAGGGAGACTGGACATGCGACGAATGCGGGAACAACAACTTTGCCAGGCGAAATTCCTGCAACCGATGCAGCAAGGGGCGGGCACCTGCGAAGAAGCGCAAACTAGGAACCGAAATAGGCAAAGCAGCAGCTGAGAAGAGCCGTGGTCTATTCAGCGCAGATGATTGGCAGTGTAATAAATGCGGGAATGTAAACTGGGCCAGGAGACAGTCCTGCAATGTATGCAACGCACCTAAATTTGGAGAGGTTGAAGAGCGAACTGGGTTTGGAGGCGGCTATAACGATCGAGGCGTGGTTGAATATAAAGAAAGATGTGATTCAGATGATGAGTATGATGAGTTTGGTAGAAGGAAAAAGCGAAGGAGTCATAGAGGGTCTAGTGAGGATGAGAAGTATGAAAAGGTTGTACAGAAAGATAATGAGAATGAAAATGAGGAAGAAGAAGAAGAGGAGGAGGAAGATGATGATGGAGACTTGTCTAAGTATGATTTGTCAGATTGGGGGATGTAAGCACTGATAGTAATAGGAAAGACCACTCAAAATCAAGGTCACGTTCTCCTTCAACTAAAAAATAAATTTGGACTTTTTTTTAATACTTGGATTGTAGACACAAAGATTCTTTGAATATGTTGCATAACTCAATCAATTAATGGATTCTAGTTTGTTTGAAGTTGAGAGATTGTGTTCAGGATACCAAACTTCAAATTATAGAGAAATAAGCTGAACTTACCTTATAACTCTTCTGAGCATCTTTTTACTGATTTATATATTAATGGTATCATAAGACTGTGTTATAATATATGTATTAGTTACATAAATAATGTATCTTCATCTTGGGAGGGTATGTAGTTAATTCAACAAGTTTGACATGTGTTCCAACAATGGGTTTTTATTCTAAGGTGTGAAATTTCAATTTTCTCAAAAGAACTTTTCAAATAGTTTAGCTAATAGTACGAGATGTAACAAAAGAGTACAAATTTCAACAATGTTCAGCAGATAGGTGGTCTTTTAACACTATCATTGATTAATGTATTGTACCTAATGATATATTAATTACTGATACTATTTAGAGAAGGATACACCTGTCTGATGAAGATTGTTGAGTTCCACATTTGAGAATATGGATGAATTTCATAGCACAGTTGCTAAACAAAATCCAGCATACATGTATCACTTCTTGATTTCATTCAGAGAAAGAAACACCTGCTTGTTAAACATTGTTGTGTGTCACATAACACATTTTTTTGAGTTCCTCAAAAGAAGTATGTGCTTGATAGTATTTATTCAGTGATCAATATCCTGATGGGGGTTTGGGTATGATTTTTAAAAAAAATATTGTTTTGATATCTCTTATAATTTGCAGTATGTATATATTAAAGGATAACACCAAAACATTGGTTGCACTTTTTTTGATGGAAGAAATGATAATAAAATAATAATATTGTGAGAAGTTTTATATAAGTAAGAAAAAGAAAATTATCTCGAAGAAATACCAAAAAAAGTGGCACTATAATGTTTTGTTATGAAAAAGATTTTTTACGGCAAGCAGCATAACTCGAACAATTATCATTCTTTTCATTTGGATTATTTAAAATAACATTTTGTACAGAAATATATGGGTGATTTTCGATAAGCTAATTTAATCATTGTTTATTGGCATGTTATTACCATTTTTTTTCATGGAAGGTTCAACGTTTCAATGAAATTATTCTGTAACCACACAAAAATAAATGTTATTAAAATCCCTTACATATTTATTCAGCTATAAACACGCACAATAAGTCGTTTTTTATACATTCGAATTTCCCTCAGCTTCACTGGTGCTGCAGAGCACCTCACAAATTCAATGCGCCTAGCGAAAATGGCTGTGGTGTCGCCATTTTTTAATATTTTTTTATGAAAAATTTTTCTTTGTTACTCAATAACTTCCTCAATATTATTACCGTTTCTTCCATGAAATAAAAATATGGAAAAAATTACTTTTAGACTGTTACTGTGGCTAAACTGTGGTGACATGCCATAGGCATTGAGTTTTCAACATTGTAGCTAAGTAGTGTCAAAGATTCTTTGTTTGGAGTGGCGTGGACTTCAGCTAGTTTGGTTCATAGCTCGTAGCAAACTTTACCAGATAAATACCATTTGGAGCAGTCACTAATGAAACTTGTTCTTTTTTGCACCTTTTCCCCTATCTACGAGTCTCTGTGAAGTTTGATGCCAACCTACAAAATACCTCAGACTGGCGACGTTCATCCTTCGAGATTTTTTTTAGAAGCCTACTTGATTGCTTTTTTTGCGTCTTTTATCTTTTAATGATAAACATATAATATGAACATGTAATTTTGTGTAACCTAAATTATAGCACTTGAAATGCACGGATTATGGTTGAATAAGTTATCGGAGATAATTTGAAGAAATTCATTTTTGAATATTCGCCCCTTCGGATTATTTTACTTTTAGTCCCTGCCATGCAAAGATTGGGAGATCACAAAAGTAATTAAATGCAAACGATCCAAGCAAGTAAGCAATCACAAAAAGTGAAGAGGGTTAAATATAGCTATCGGGGTGAAATGATTCCAGCCTGTTTGGCTAGTGCGGTATGACGCTAAAAACTACTGGTTAAGAGATGGTATTTGACATGGCTCAATATATCCAGGCCATGCAGATCCCGCTACTGATTCGGCTATTTAAATCGTAAACTTTTTACGTCTCATATAGTAGGTCAGATAGTAGATATTCCTATGTAATAAAATATTTTTCATCTACTGGTCATTGGGGATCATTTTGACGTCACTGCATCATGAGCGATTATCCGGTCAATAGTTGGAAACAGACGAGCGGATTATCCGGCATATCTGATGTAGCTTGAGAGATTTGTAAAAATAACTGGGTGCACCTGCCCAATTCAGATTTGTAGATTCAATGTAAATTTGATATCTATGGGCATTCTACTCGCCTATGGTCCACTGTTACAAGGTTTTTCGTAATTGAGTCATTAGCTTGTGACGTGATAGTTATCTTTCTCTAACAAATGCCTATTACCAGCATGTACCATTTATGCATAAAAAATGATAATTTAATTTAAATAAAGGTATTTTGAACAAAATGTGTTTTATTTATTGTTTTGTCACCAATATTTTACATTTTTCAATGTATTTTAGGTATGAAGCTTTTTTAGCAAAGCTTACATTAAGATTCAGAACACAGACAATTTGAAATAAAAAAATAAGACGCACAACTGTCCAGGTAGCAAAAAATTGAGGGAGGCACATGGCGTTTGGTGGATTATCACTTATCGATACAATTTTTTCCTTTATTTAGCTTAAATTGTTTTTTGTAATCCACGAAAACCTTTACTATCTGTGTCTTTCTGGAACATTAGAACTGTGTGGAAGCCCATACATGTTTATATATTTTCGCAGAAAAATACGAATTTAATGAGATTGTCAAAGTTAGCAGCTCAAGGAGCTCGTCTGATTGTCTTGTAGTATGCACTTGCATTCTGACTTCTCAAATTTAGAATAAAGCAAGTCGTATGCTTATTACTCCTATCCAGTCCAAATTCGATGTGATCACACCCTATGAGAAATGGATTTGCTTTCTAGATTTCAGAGGCTAGAAAATCTTTGTGAGAATTGCTTCGAATTTCGAGACGATATCAATTGGCACGCAAGATACTGCTTAAAGAAATTTCAAGCGCCCAGGAAAATTTTTGGATTGCGGCGCAGCACCATTGTTTCGCATGAAGCAGGGTCTAAATGTAGTTATCACATAAACTAAATATGATTCATCCGTCCGACAAAAAAAAACAGTCAACCATGGACAGTTGTTTAGTGCTTCTTGGCTACGCATCAGCATAGTCTAGGCTTGGTCTTTTGTCTCTGGACGCACGAACGAAAGCATCGCAACTATCGTCTACACCATAGGTACGGTCTATCGGAAGAAGACAGCGTAAAGCGCCAACTATCACAATCACACCAGAATCGACCACTGCGAAAAGCGCATATCTGCTATTAGATGGAACTGTTACGGATCTCAGCTCACGTTTAATAACCCAGTTACCACGTATCCGCTAGGTGGCTGACGATCCTGACTGTAAAGTAGATGAGGTCTACTTGTCAATTAATAAACTAAATATAATGCCGACCAGAAAGTTAACCGATCACGGACAGTTGTTTCGTGCTTCTTGGCTACTCATCAGCATGGTAAAGGCTTGGTCTTTTGTGTCTGGATGCTCACGTGGTGACTGGGCTATTAAACGCGTGCTGATATCCCTAACAGTTCCATGCAATAGCAGCTATACGCTTTCCGCTTTGGTCGATTCTGGTGTGATAGATGCAATAGATACAAAGACGTAATTCCATATACCAATAAATCCAGCGATCCATATAACTCATGCTGTATTTTATAAATTTCGAGCAACTTCGGCATTTATGTCATATACTTTCACTATTTTCTGCTGTAAGATTTCAATTCGTAAATGTCGCATAAATTAATGAATACCAATATATAACTGATTTAAATTGCCGCCATTTTTGATACACGCATTTCAGTAGGTGGTGCCGTAGTAGTTGTTTACACGATCCCACAATGCGTCCGTATTGTCAAAACGTTTTACTTAGACAATGAGTTGATTGTTGCAACGGAAGCTACGACAAGATTTCGGTCGAAATAATGTGCCCAGTGTCAACACCATTCGTCAGTTGGTGCGGAAATTTGAACAAACAGGTGAAGTTAAAGGCTTTGCAGGGTCGGGCCGTGTTCGAACTGCTCGAGAAAGTTCATGAAAGTGTAGTGAAGCGCCCTGGGACGTCTACCAGACATCGTTCTCAAGAACTGGGTATACGTCGCACGTCATTATGCACTATTTTAAAAAAAATACTTGCATTTCGGCTATACAAAATTAAGTTAACCCAAGAACTACAACCTAGTGACCATGAAAGTCGCCGAAAATACAGTCATGCAATATTGCAGCTTAATACCCAAATTAAAGATTTTTACCAACAACTGATAATGAGCGATGAAGCCCACTTCGTGTTAATAAGCAGAATTATCATATCTGGGCATTAGAGAGACCTCGCGTCATCCATCACCGACCACTACATCCTCGTCGAGTCACAGTTTGGTGCGGTGTTTGGTATGGAGCTGTCATTGGAACTTACTTTGTTGAAGATGCTGCAGGTAATTCTCTTACTGTCCCTGGCGAGCGCTACCGTGATATGGTGCAAAACTTTCTGGCTCCTAAAATCCAACAATTAAACCTGCAAAACATGTGGTTCCAGCAGGACGGAGCAACTTGTCACAAAGCTAGGGATACAATGACTATTTTGCGAACAATATTCCCGGGACGAATTTCTCGATTTGGTAATGTCAACTGGACACCTATAGTCAACGCCAAACAAAGTGGCGTGCACGTCATCAAGGTGGGTGTGTTGAAAAATTCACATTGTTGCCAAACTTTTTGTAAAATAATAAAATTTATTATTTACATATCTAGGTTTATAAGCAATATTAACCTCAAATGAGAACAAAAATAATAGTATAATAAAATTATAGATCTGTACTTGCATAATCATTAAGTATGACAATTATTGATCAGATGACACTATGAAACTACCATATTTAATTGATAGCTTAAAGGTACTGAATAAAAATCCAAATGGGGTCCTCCAAATTTTATGCATGGTATTTATTTTACAGAATTCATACAGAAAAATGCATTCTAAAATTAGGTAAGCTACTGGTGTAAGCTTTTTCTGTACAATAAAGTTAGTCGGAGTTTCTTTCTTCAGCGCTGTCTGAATCTGAATCTTCATCACTCTCAAAGTTGATTATTAAAGGTTCGATGTCTGGTCGATCAAAAATTCGTTCTCTTTCATACCATTTAAAAATTTCTTGCTCACTATTTTTCCACATGTCTGGGGTAACCGTTTGTAGAGCCTCGTTCCACATATCCAAACAGTCTTTTTCACTGTTACCATCTCTACCAATATGTCTGTTATAGTAACCTTTTGCTATGCCCCAAATTAACTCAATAGGGTTAAATATACAATGGTAAGGAGGCAGACGAAGAACTTTGTGCCCATGTTGTTCCGCCAATTCATCAATCACGTATATTTTAGGTGGTTTGTTTCTAAAAAAGCAGTTATTTTAAGAATAGGAATAAACAAAAGAAATATAAACTGTCGACCAAAATATATATAATTAAGAAGCATTATGTACCGAGCAACAATACTCAATAGCTCTGTTTTAAACATTGTGTTTAAAAATGGTATGTTTTGATTTGTCAACCAGTCTTGGATATTTTTTTTTGTCCATGCATTGTTGGGCACTTTGTTCAATATCATGCTGTGATAAGGGGCGTTATCCAGTATAATCATAGATGGACTCTCCAATTTTTCTAATAACTGATGTTGAAACCATTTCAAAAAATTGTCCTGGTTCATCTCTCCATGGTAATCGCTCAATTTTGTTTTCGAAGAAAATATCGCTTCACTACCCCCAATAAACCCATTTTCATTTCCAGCATGTAATATAATGTATCTAAAATATATTAGTTTTAAATTTTGTAGTGCAAATTGTGTAAAAGTACATACCTTTTACCATCTGTTTTAAAAGCTTTCACGCTTTTTTGGTTTCCATTTTGCCAAGAGCGACCTATGGTCCCATTTTGAAATATCCAAGTTTCATCGAGGAAGACAAACTGGTATAAGGCCTCAACCTTGGCTTGATTGTATTGCCTTAGAAATTCCACCCTTTTCAAAGCTATACTTGGTAGTTCCATGAGCCCTCGTCGCGGATTGTCCTTAAGCCACTTAAATCCAAGATCTCTAAGCAACCGCCTTAAAGACGTGCCACTACCATCAAATAATGCCCTATCTCTTAATCGAGACCATAAAGTTTGTATCGTAACTTGTTCTTCTGAAACCATGTGTAATATGACATTATAATTTAGTTAACAAATTAATGCAAATTTCTGATAAGTTATTATAATAAGATCTTACTTTTGTGATACATATTATAGATCACTTCTCGAATGGCACTTGTATCCAATGTCGCTGTGTTGGTTACACGTTTAATATAACTCCGCTTTTTCTTGGGCGATTCTAAATTTGCATCACTTTTCACACCCTCGGAAATACGACTAACTGTCCTTAAACTAATTTTTAAAGCAGCAGCAACACGCTACAAAAAATGAAATAAAATTTCACTATTATTAATATACATTACATATAATTATTAGTAACCTACCTCTTGAACAGCATTTAAAGGCAACAAAGGCCCGTTGTTGTCCCTTTCTTGCTCAAAGTACTGCATTAACGAGGCCACGAGTTCCTTACACCGACTATTTAACTGTTTGGGCATCTTTATATACCAAAATTGCCTTTATCTACTCGTAAAATGAATAATTTTGTTTTGAAACAAACAGTTGTTGATTTACAGTATGCGGGGCCAAAGGATTTATAAAGATTTGAAATGCCACAAATTGATTCAGTGTCAAAATTAATACAAATGTCAGTTCCCAGTTTAAATAAGTTTCAAGGTGACAATGTGTCAACGCTGCGAAATCGGTTTAGTGCGTTTACATGTCGATAAGTGATTGGAGCGTTTGCAAAACATTTTATTTCGCATAATGCGTCTAAATTTATCAGAAAGCAACTTATGTGATATTTTAATAACAATGTTTATATGACTATTAACCATAATAAGAGAGTAATGACCATTTTACAATTTATATATCACATTAATATGAAACTGCAATAGAGCAATTGTTTGTGATAGAAACCTAGGCATTAGGTCGGGGAATTTTTATCGTGATGACGTGCACGCCACTTTGTTTGGCGTTGACTATAGTTCACCGGCTCCTGATTTTTTTATGAGGATTTTTTGAAAAACAGGGTTTATGCCAACAAACCAAATACTGTAGAGCAGCTGAAGAACAATATTATGGAACCGATTGAAAATATTCCTCCGGAAACCTACCAAAAACTGATGGAAAATGTAATCAAGAGGGCTCAGGTATGCACGCCTTCTAGAGGCGGACATTGGTCTGATATTACTTTTCATACATAATTTCTAAGTTTCAATAAAAGATTTAGATGAAAAAAATGGACGTATTTTATTTAATTTCACAAATATTCAAGATACAAACCAGTCAGTTACATATCGGCAACCCTGTAATATTTAACTTGGCAATGTTGACAAAGTTAAAAACCGCTGAAGACATTTTTTTGAAAAATCCCAAAATATATGCGTTTATACTCTACAATATGGTAGATGGAACTACTAGTTTAATCGCATTGCTCTGATAGTAGATTGCCGTCATATTAACGTAAAATCACTTGCTCATTTGGTGATAATTCATGCAAACAGTGACGTATTTTCTACGTCTCAAATACCTAAATGACATCAAATTGCTGTGGCATATATCGTCATCATAAAGACCTAAATATTCAATCACATGTTGGTTATTTTGACGTGAACTGTGACGTCTTTCTAACGTGAAACTGACGTCACCTTGCTGGCTGGGTGGCACAGAGAATACTTTTGATCTAGTTAAATGCAACCATCAATCAGTCCATAGAAAACGATGTCAAACAAATTAAAAGTATGCACATATACAATATATTATATTTGAAAAACGTATAAAAATCTGCATCAAATAAGCTGAACTACGAGTTTGTTAACTTAAACTTTTAGTAGCAGACTACATAAAAAACAAAGTACAATACTCCATGTTATTATTCCTCAAAGCTCAGCACTTCATCATTCTTGAACAAATTCATAGTTCATTTGTATTTGATTTAATAAAAATTTCGCAAAATATAACATCTTTTCTCCCTATACCAGGGGTTATAGTTTTTTGTTGATTACATAAATACAATATCGACAATTTTAAGCACAATTATAATCTTATAGCGAACAAAACATGACTAAAATGTGTAAATATCTAGCCGCCAATGTGATTTCTCCAAATTGGTCTCCTTCATCCAGATGACGGAAGTGAACTGGTGAATATCCTCTGAGTGTTAATTTTTGAGGTTTAGGGAATCGTAAGACGGTGGTGCTGTAATTAAAATTATTCATACTTAGGCCCAGTTTCTTAATCGTAGAATATTATATATTACTTTATGGATAATAAGTCAACTTTCAATGATATGTTTGAGCTAAAACTTTAGTTAACTTTAATCAGAGAACCTTCCATACGTTAAATATATAGTTGTAGCAGATAACTAAGCTAACTAAGTTGAAGGTGGCGCTGGTTGTAGTTAAACCTAACCTATTTTACTTGACAGTGATATGTGTTGTCACGGATGCCACGGAATACAAACACCGATCATCACGAGACGTAGAGTACACGATAGTTCATATGTGAAAGCAGCGTTGCAGCATTAAAAATTGTGGGTTAGTTATACTTGAATGCATCTTATCAGACTTTATAATCTAAATAATAAATAATAACAAAACATCTATGGGCGAACGCTTTTTTTTGTACATCAACGCACACTTTTGTGAACGATTTGCATTAATTTGCTTGGCGTATATATGCAGTACGTTACCACGAGTGTTACAGTATAAATGACAACACCAGCTTGGTGATACCCTTCCAAAGAGTGTGCTATTTGTGTGATTTTGTAAAGTGGGCATTGGTAGTAGAATTATTATGTCTATAATGTATTCAAATCCCATTTAAGACTCGTCAAACCAAACATGAGTGCTCGATTACTGCGCAAATTTTTTGATTTGGATACATTTTAGGCAGCAGCGGTGGCGTAGTGGTAGTCGCTGCGTGTCTACTAATCAGTCGCTGTGAGTTGCACGGGTTCGAGTTCCGTCCTAAGAGAGTTTTTCTCTTGGCTATGGATGCTGTGATTGTGCGTAAGTGGTAGAGGCTCTCGGACTGTTGAATGTGGAGTTACCACCCCGTCGGGGCCAGAATCTGACTCCCTCCTTTCCCTGTATAGTCCCACGGTATCCACGGGTGTTTATTCCTTTTATTCCTTAGCCCTTCGTGGTGGTTCCAGTATAAAAAATTATATTCTCGCCCACCATATGGACGTTGACATAGGGCTGTCCAGTGGGAAAGTTCACTTTTTGATTTAAGAAAAAAAATACAAACTCAATGAAAAGAAAATATTTATTACTATCAACATATTCGTAAATTCGGTAGGTTTTATTTCTTATGTCAAATATTTGTTATCCCTTCGGATACTCTTCAAATCGCGCGCGCAAATTCTGAAACGTTCTCTTGCAGAGTTATAACCCCACAAGAAATAATCACGTGGCGTGAGGTCGGGTGACCTAGGAGGCCTGTGAATGTCTCCAAACTTTGATATAACTTTTTGAGGAAAAAGTGCTTTCACCGTGTCCTTCGATTCTCTGGACGTATGGGCAGTGGCACCATCCTGTTGAAACCATGTGTTTCTGTTGAATCGACGTTCTGTTCTTACAATAGGAGCAAAAAAGTGTCAATCATGTTCTTATTGTATCGCTCGGAATTAACTGTCAATGCATGATCGTTTTCATCTTCAAAGAAATACAGCCCAATAATACCGACAGTGGATATGACGCTCCAAACAGTCACCTTTGCACTATGTAGAGGTTGTTGATGATTCTCTTTTGGATTCGTTGGTGCCCAATATCTGCAATTTTGCTTGTTCATATAACCGTCTAAGTGGAAATGGGCCTCGTCACTGAAAACAACGTTCTCGAGTCTGCGCTGCGTAGGAAAAAGATTCAACATCCGTTCAGCACAAGATTTCCGGAATACCTAATCACTTTCCTTTAAAGCTTTGACTGATTTAATTTTGATAAGGATGAAAATCCATTATTTCATGCAGTGTTGACCTAGGGATTCCCAAAACAGCGGAATGCTGCCGTACAGAACGCCGAGAATTTCCAATGACCGAATCACTTACTCGACGCACATGTTCTTCGGTTGATACAGTAGGTGTGGGGCTAGGAATGAGTTGAATAAGACTAGAGCCTGTTTCACGGAACCTCTTAATCCACTTTTTCAATAGGTTCTTACTTGGGGCATTTCTTGGTCGAAGAATGTTGAATCGTGCACAAAATTTCCCAAGGGCAGCTGCGTATGAATCACCACTCTTAAAGTAAGCCTCGATAGCAAAAGCACGTTGCGCTCCAGTCCAACGTTCCATTGTGATTATTTAACCCGCACGCCGAACGCATCGATCAAGACCTCTTCCCACTTCCTCGCGTATACGGTTGCCGTGTAATTCAAATTTGAAATATGAACTTTCTCTCTGGACATTCTGCATTTCCATTATCACAGTTACGCTACTAATTAGGACCGCAGTGATTAGAATTCTCAGGGTTTTTCAACAACGGAAATCCCATAAACTACGGTAACAGTCCGAAAGGTGACACCTGGCTGGCACCTAAAGATAGTGGTCGCGGCTTTCAATTGGTAACATACTGTATAACAAGGCCACTTAACACCTCTGAATTCTGGAAGTAATGTGTCATAGCAGAAATGTGTGAGTATGAATAAATACAGAGCACATTATACTTACGTGGTTCACTATTTGTTCCCTCACCACCACCATAGCCTTGGTCTTGTTCTTTTAGATCTAAAACAATATTTTTTTTATCGCAGATAAACTCTTTATTTGAACTTCGTATCAATGATAGGCTACTTTACCCATACGAGTATCTAATTTCATAGAATAAATAAGTATATATACGTAAGATGACATGGGTCCAATTCAAATAATATATTTTTTATTTTTAATTTGAAATAGTGAAAACATGGCCATGATGTGACGTCATACAAATTGTAAACAAAGGAACGTCATCCGTATGTCACTCATGTGTTTTAACGTTGCCTCCTTTAAATATTTCTAGAAAACTCCTAATCAACGTAAAAAGTAATCGTTTTTCGTTAAAAAAATAATCACGGACGTTGGATTCGTGAAAGCAGAAAGCCCAAATTTGCAACACATTGATAGTTGAGACTGATTTTTCTGCTTTCAACCCAGATTTATGCTCTGCTGAGCTGAGGATCATCAAGAAGTTATGTAAGTACAGTGCAGGTGACATAATGATATACATAAAATATAGAATAAGAAATACATTTACATAATCTTACTTTTCAGAAGTCATACAAAGCTAAGCTCATGTGTCACCACCTCTGAATAATTTTATCGTATATTGTATTTCTTCTTACACATCTGCAAGGGAATCTTACGGTGATGATGCCGGAGGTTACGCCAAACTTGAACGAGAAGCTAAAATCTGCACAGTAAAATGTAAAATATGTTTCCACGCAATAGGCCGTGTGGCGTATATTTATTTCCCTGGACACTCTAATCCACAACTTTCGTGGGGTCTTTATCGATGTGTTTTTACATTCTCAGGCGATACAATAACGATAATTACTATATTTTTCATGTGAACTAGTAGAAGTCACGTTTATATGTTTAAAAGTTTGAGAGGTTATGCTGCTTTCAGATCCTGTTTACAAATGGTATAACGTCAGACCACATTAATATATGGGCCAAACATATTTTCATTTGTCTAAGTAAAATATACCTTTAAACTAAAATATAGCTTTAATTTTTTACACCTAAAGGCCGTCTGTCACGATAGGAAATTTTGTGCTAAATTTCGTACAAAATTAAGGATAGTGTCAGACAGTATTTAGTACATAATTTTGTATGAATTTGTAGAAACTGTTCTAAATAATATCATACTAAAAGTGCGCAGACGACTACTGCGCATTTGGAGCAGTACAATGGCTGACATAACATAAAACACTTTCATTATCTGTTGTGTTCATCAGTTTCGCGAAACTCATCTGCGTACGCTGTTCTACTTATAGATTGAAAACTTAAAAGATGTGATGATCAAAATAGCAGAGTGACATATTACTAAACGAGTATGAGAAATATGATTGTTTACGAGTATAACATATGCTGTAAAAAGCGAGGCCTATAAAAACAGAAAAGCCAAATAAACTGCGTTGGATAAAATCAGAATGACTTAAGAGCCAATTAGGCTTGTAAGCTAGTGGATCCTGCTCTAGAAGTTCTTTATTCAGCATAAATGGAGCACACTACATGCCCTGATGGTCTCTCTCCCTGATCCACTTTCGGCACCAAATTATCTTACAGTTTCGTTTACTTGTTTGTTTTTTCATAAGGTGAACAGCTACAACGCAGTATCGCAGTTGCATATAATATACAGGGTGTTTTAGAACTTAGGGATCAAACTTCTACGGGTTATTCAGTGTAACAGTAGAAAAAAGTTGAGTATAGGGACCCATATCTGGAAAAGTGTCACTACAGCCCTAAGACGCGTTAACATTTAGAAAGGCGATGAATTGCCTAAATATTATTTAATGCATTTAATTTTTGCCTTTTGTACATGATATCATCACAACAATTGTTCAAAATGTCTTCCTCCAACATGAATACACCGATTTAAACGTCGCACATGATTTCGGCGGACTTGACTAAACATTTTATACTCGTTCTGAATGATTTCAAATGCTGCTGTAATTCGTCCAATTGAGTCTTGCTCTGTTTCTACTGGAGTTTCGTAAACCAAAGAGTTTACATGTCCCCACAGGAACGGTGTATTCAGGTTGGAGGAAGACATTTTGAACAATTGTTGTGATGAAATCATATACAAAAGGTAAAAATTAAATGCATTAAATCCTATTTAGGCAATTCATCGTCTTTCTAAATTTTAACGCGTCTTAGGGCCGTAGTGCTGTAGTGACACTTTTCCGGATATGGATCCCTATACTCAAATGTTTTCTACCGTTACACTGAATAACCCCTACAAGTTTGATCTCATAGTTCTGAAACACCCTGTATTTGAAAATAAAGGAATAAGCTAGCAATCGCAGAGGGAACTGTAGTTAGAATGACTTTGACGTGATAAATGACAGTTAGAAGTTGGCAGTTATAGTTGTTTTCTACCAACTACAGATTTCGTACGCAATTTAGTATAAACATTTCTTTACGTGTCAGACAGGTTTGTAATTTGTAAACAATCTGGGAACTAAATTCAGTAACGAATTTTCTCACAAAATCTGGTAGCTAAATTTAGCACGAAATTTCGTATCGTAACAGACGGCCTTTATAGAATAAATACTAACTACTTAAGCAAGTATTAACTAGCCTCTTCAAATATCATTTACATCTCGGCAACCGTCAGAGTTACAAAGTTTGTTAAACAAGCGACTAACAAAATTTTATCCATGTGGAGCTAGCAGAACTGACGTATTCTACTGTTTTCGAGATTTTGATTCAATTTGGACATGCTTGCTTTCCGGCTTTTATAACCATGACCATTCACAGACACCACTGTTACGTGCTCATTAGCAACTCATCAGTGCGGTATACATTTAGGTTTAGGTCTACACACGAAACGGAAAGCAAACAAGTGGGTATGGTCTTTTGAAGGACTCAATACGTTGTATTTCGAACACTTGACAGATGACTCTGATGGTACGATGCGACATCTCTGCTCTTAGCGTAGAACAATCAGCTTTGGCGTACTATTGGTAGGCGGATATTCTCTGACTTTTCACATACTTGCGCACAAAATCTTGATGATTTTTAATTATATCCACTGTCACGTGCCAAAATCACGTAACCTTTTTTTTTACTATGTTGATCACTTATCAGTAATTTGAGTTTCTCTTTACTAATAGTAGAGTGCCGATTCCAGAGCCAAACCCTTTTTAATGATTTTCTTTTGGCAAATTTCATAGTTTATTGATTGTATAATTTTACGCGTATTATATCTTTCTTTCTCAGCGATTCAGTATTGTGTCGAAATCTTTTGAACACTAATGTTATAGTATTATCAACGACTATCTCAGAAATTTCCTCATAAAATATCGTTGGGCTCTGGTAGAGTTGGTTCCGCCTACTGGCAACCAGCGCCACCTTGTGATTTCTGCACGTACTAGCCGTATAGGAATACTTGGTTTCCTATCAAGATACCATCTTTTAAATCCTATCAAGATACCTTGTTTTAGGGGTTGCGTGTGCAGACGGGCCCAGCTGCATTTTTATTTTCTTTCTGCTGAGGTATGGTGTGGGCGTTGTTTCTTCCAGATTCTGGGACATAGGACTCCCAAACTCCAGTTTACGGAGTAGTACCCTTTATTTTGTACCTTACGTTTAGTTGTTTTGGTTTGGGTGCTACACCGTCCATTTTCTAATGGGATTTTAACCTTCAGCGATAAGTTCTTTTTTGTATACCATCGGACCACGTCCTTTAATGCATGTCCTGAAGAAGTTTGTTCAATATCTGCTTCCTTTTAGTTGAAAAGCATTGCGAAGAACCACCATTCACACTTCTCCAGCGTTGTTTTGTAGCTGCTTGTAGCTGTTTCACAGCCGATTTTGTTGAGCCACCCCTTCCTCTTGACAAAATATCCTGATGTGAACAGGTAAAATATCATTTTAACTGAGTATTTTATAGATATTTAGATATTGATTATTGCTGACTGAAATTCTTGAAGTGTCCTAGATTTTGTTTGGCCTTTTTTCGTATTCAAATATAGGGCAGTGTCTACATGACACCTTCTATTGGGCATTACATTACATTGATCATGATTTTGATTTTTGAGCTGCAATAACTTTATTTTAGAACAAGCGGTAACTTTCTGAGATATATATTATAATATATATTAGTATCTTTTCTTGCCTTTGCTTTACTTTTCGTATAAAAGAATGTACACGGTTTTTCTTCAAGTTTGAGTGTTTTTAACGAGTAGTTTTGTCTCAGACAGAGAGTAGAGAAGTAGATTTTTAAGCAGTCTTTTTGTGTCTAGGTTTTTTTATACCGTACATTTTGGAAAACGAGCCAAGCACCTTGTGACGTTCATCACGACACTGCCCACTGCTGGCCTCTGGTGTTTGAGAGCTGGAGGACATCTCGGTTGTAAAGCCTTCGTACGTGTACCATGGTAAACGTTTTGCAGGGTTAATTATCACGGTCTAAATTTTATTGTCAGGTAGTTCTGAATAATATCCTTTCTTTCAACTTGCACTCCAGTGGTGTAGCATATGTGCTGCTTGTTTTGATAATATATTGTGATTCTTTTTTAAATATCTTGTTTTATTTGGCTCTCTGTGTACAATTAATTATGTTTCATCGTTACTGTGAGATTATTTTCTTTTGTGTACGTGGTCAGGCAAAACAAGCTCTGATTAACATCTCCGGGATTTGTGGCTTAATCCATCTTAAGTCACTGGCGCTCTTAACCCCCCTACTCTCCGCTTTATTGAGCTAGGGCCTGAATTTGCACGCCACTAGACAGCTGTTTTGCATTGGCTGACCCTAAGATTTCATTTATAGTGCCTTATTTATTTATTAACTCATTAATTAATGTAAAAAACAACCATTTTCTCTTGTTTATAAAAAAAGGCGTAGTAAATTTCGTGGCGTCCAAAGTTATCTATTAACATCTCACCTATGCTGTTTTAAAACCGCTTTTATGCACCTGACAGGGGCTGCCTGGTCCGTTGACTAACAGGAAAACGAGAAATTGAAGCTCGGGTTCTGCGTTATGCTTCAGTTTTAACAGGGCGCAAATGAGCCTCAAATAGAGGTGTATAGCTATTTAAGAGATCCTGTCGCTGTTTCATGTTTCATCCTTATCATGAACTTACGTGCTGGAGGTGCAGATGGCGGAAAGACTGGAACACCGCCAACTGGGGGGTATGGTAGCCCTTGATTGGGCGCAGAAGGTGAGGTAGGTACTTGGAATCCCATGGTGTAGCCGCTTGTGGCTGAGGTTGGTGCTTGACCTATTTGGACATTTCCTATTTCGGGATTCATCTGCACTTCTAAGTTCGAATGAACACCTGGTAATTTTGCTGTTACCTAATAGGATCAAACAAATTTGATATAAAAATCACATGAAATCAAAAAGTTCAGAATACCATGTATCCAAGCTTTATTTCAATGATTTTTGTTGGATTTTTCAAAAAACTAGCACGCGAGTAACGAGTTGAGAGATCATGAATAACTTAGTGCTCCATCTATAAGGGTCAGGATTTTGCTTGGCGGACATACATATGTGTGTTCTTGAATATCACACTACAATAAACAAAATATAATAAATCAGTCCGGTTTCCTGCCATGGTAATGATATACTGCAAATGAACATTTTACATGTCCGCCGGACACATTTCCGAGGGTGGGGTTAGGCGGACAAAGTGCAATGTTATCTGTGGATACTTACGAACATTATGTTGAACATTCGGGGAGGTGTTTTGACGCGGTAATGAGACACGTAATTTGATGTACCATTTAACTACTCGTAAGTTTCAGATAAATGTTCAAGTTTTGATAGGCGGACGTGCATTTTTATTTTCTCCGCGTAAAAATATATAACTTGTCACGGAGGGTACTGTGTCGCTGGTTCTCCTACTATTACATATTCGGTATTTATGTTTACCAAATCTCTCCAAGCAAGTTTGCTGTTCTGGCAAGCGATTGTCAATTTATTCTATAGGCTTCAAAATGTCTATCATTTCTTTGTCTCAAGTTTTTGAAACCAATTGTTTCAATACAGCGCTGTTGCCTGGAGAAACTAGAAAAATTAAAAAAAGATGAGGTTTCAACCCATATTTCTCGTCTTCGATTTTTGTGTAGAATTTGCTTGTAAGGCGATCAGGACAGTCAAACTGATTCAACAATAAACTTTTAAGAATTATATTGTTCCTACCTTGTACGTGTACTCCACCCTGAATAGTCTACACATACAGAAATTGGGCAAGATTATATTCATAGGTAACATTACAGGGAAGGTGTACGTGTGTTCTCCATGTGCTCCAAGTCCAACGTCGTTTTGTTCCACCAAGGTGTTGTAGATTGTCTTGTCATCTCTATTTGGTTCATCTACTTTACATGTTATATTCTGGAAATTACAACGTTGAGCATCGGTTCGAAAAAGAATCTGATACAGTGTCTTATATGATCTTATTCAAAAAGACGACTTTCAACGAATCTGCATGTCACCGGGTTTTTAATTAAATTCGCCCCGCAAAGGTTTTTTAGGTTTTCGTTCCGGACAAAATGGGCTCTTATGAACTTTTATCTAAAGTTGATACTTTCTGAGATGTACGCGATTTAATATTTGAAAAGTGCGAAATATGCCGTCTATCACCCGGAAAAATAACATGAAAAAACAATGTGTTTAATGTTGCAACGTTCCTAATATTTTTCAAACATCATATTACAACAATTTCAAAAGTATTTTTGGGTGTTGTAAACTTCTCGTTTAACTTCCCACGCTTACTATTGTAATCTCAACAATTTTCGAAAACGAGGTATTATGTATTTTGGATGTGTATATGACATGTACATCACGAATAACCATGTAAAATCCGCCCACTTGCGTCTGACAAAAACAACAAAAACAAAAAAAAAATTAAATCGGTCAAACTTCGTTTTTTGGTTATTTCTAATCAACTTTTTAACGTTGATATATTCATACGCCTCCAACATCAGTGATTCTACGCACATATTAGGTCTATCTCACTCATCATAGATGTCCCCGTACATTTTCTCTTGAAACTAAAAAAAAATTCGCCTACAGTCTGGTGTCGATACGTGCGACGTCGTTCCCCCGATGGACAGTTGCCAGCTGTAACTCTATCGCACTCACGCAGAATTTGCATTGAGAAACTATCAACTTTATAGACAGATTCCTTAGAAGGGGTCTTTTTCAAAAAGATTATGCAAAAAAACGGAAACAAAATATTTTTCCGAGTGGACGCGAATATGTACTAGTTAAGATTGTCTAGGATTAGGATTGACGCGCAGCTATGTCTAAGGGCCGTATCGACTTTCGTTCCTACAATTGTATGACGCCTTTATGGCCTCTATGCTTTTCTCTCCTTCAGAAAGGCTGTGGTATTTCTATTTGTGAGGCTTTGTTTTCTTTTTGAATTGTACGCAATTTCAAGCTGATATTACAGATGATATGAATCAAAACCATGCACAATTTAATGCAAATTGATATTTGTGACATAACCTCAAAATAGAGCGCTGACACGGAACAGTCGACAACTATGAAAATCAAGTAGGAACGACTAACGATACGGCCCTGGGTGTGTCTGCTGCAATAGCGGAGTGACCGATAGTCTTGGACAAAGTTTAATATAATATTGTGCATTTGAAATTCCAGTCTGAAACAGCTAAGAACGTAGTGCGTAATGAAAATGAGACAACTTTGATTTGTATCGGACTCGACGTGAGTCGATCACTCTTCCATCTGGCCACTCATTCGCGAGGTTTGACAGCATGCCGGGCTTCACATACAAACTAATACATGATTACATGTCATATCCTTCTTTGTTCACATTACCTGTGTGAGTTTGAATCTGACGCCTTCTAAATTCGTATTGGACATGTTCGAGACCCTTGCAGTAATGTTAACAGTCTCACCAGGAGTTAAAGTCTTTCTTGGTAGTTCAACGTCCAAAGAAATTGGGCCTTGTGCACAACACCAGCAGCAGATAGTTTTATCATTCGAGTAACTCGTTGGTTCCTTTAAAGACGAAACAATATTATAAACAAATGGCGGCGATGTCTGACTTTGCTCCCGCTAGGTGGCGCTGTGTGGTTGGGAGTCAAAGCTGTCAAACGTAGATTTGATGGAAACGTGACGTTATTTTATATATTGAAAACCAAATACCACTGATGTAATGTGTACGAGAGAGAAGCGTGCAATACGTGTGTTAGAAAGAGACAGAAGCACCTCGTTGCCTAGCAACCCGTATGACGAGGCTACGGATGCCATCGGCACACTTTTTCTAACATACATACTGGACGCTTCTCGCGCTTATCTCCCGTGCACATTACGACGTCAGCCAAATTTGAACATCACCGTAGACAGGTGATAGGAAATAGACAGATTTGATAGAAAAGTAACTTAGTTTTCACTTTTTGTCGTCTATTGACGTAAGCAGCTGATCAGCATTTGACATGTTTGTTCATAATCTTAGATTATTTCAGATATGAGATATAAGACTAACTAGCGCCATCTGCTTTTAGCTTTCCAGATTACCCCCATTGAAGCATAATAATTATATACTTTTTACTAATAAAGTGTATTTGAATAAACAAAACAAATACAGATTGTTCCTTTTATTAACGTTCTCATATTCCAAGATATGATCCCTCAGATAATTTCAAGAAGAAATATTTATATGAGCATGTCCGCAACGGCTTAACTTTTTTACTGTAGGGTGTTTAATTTTAATTCAATTTTTTATTGTTTTTCTTTGAAAGTACATTACGTATAATTTTTAATTTTAGTATATTATAAAAGAATGCGCGATGACATATTTTAATATAACATCTAATCTATTGCGCCGTCACTGAAATGATGTCATTTGGTAACTTTTAATAAAAAAATGGTCCATCTGATGTGTTTATATAGAAATGTTCAAGCTAAGGAAATTGACATAAAAAGGTTAACACCTACGTATGTTTATTAGAATTCAATAATTTTAAAATATAGATATCTTGCCATGAACTACAAGTAATAAAATGGTCGGGTTTTTCTTTTAAGTTTTTATGGTGGCTGCGTGTATTGTTTGGTGATAAAGAAGCATTCAGTTTTCGTACATTTACGGTGTCAGTTAAATGTTAAATTTCGTGTAGCTTATTGAGGAGCCTTTTTGTGGTTGCTCAAAATGCCTAGAGTGCGTAGAATTCGCTGGCTGTCCCAGCTAAGTGACTTTGAGAGGGGTTGCGTGAAGCCGGTCTATCGATAAGAGAAGTTTCTAGGAGGAGCAGTATACTGCAATGTGAACGAGCGTGCACTCATGAAGGCCGAGGACAGCGAGCGAGGGGTTCTGGACGTGTCAGATGGAGCACAGAGCGACAAGACCGTCGGTTAAGACTTCTGCCCACATTGGGTGTAATCTCTTCAGCTGAACATAAGCGTAACCGTTTGATCTGGTGTAGAGAAAGAATTCTATAGGACTGGGAATGGAATCAGGTGGTCTTTATCCCGCTTCTGTCTGGGGATGCACGATGGTCGGGCAAGAGTGAGAAGGCGACGTGATGAAGGACGTGACCACAATTTGACAAAGAGCGTCATGTTCATCACACCGTGGGAGTTATGGTATGGGGTGTTATTGCTTATGGTAGCAGATCACCACTTATTTTCATCAGAGGAAATATGGCAGCCCGACGCTATATTCAGGAAGTAGTAGAGCCTCTTCTTGTTCCATACCTAAACATCATCCAAAACACGATTTTTCAGCAAGACAATGCCAGACCGCATGTTGCCAGAGCATCGTTAGCCTTCATGGATCAACATCACATCAACCGTTTACATTGGCCACCACGATCGCCTGATCTATCTCCAATTGAACAAGTCTTCGACATGACAGGTCGCAGGGTCTTGAATTTGCAACACCCTCCACAGACTTTAGCAGCTCTTACTCACGAAGTCGCAGTAGCCTGGAATGAGATACCCCAACAGGATATCGACCACCTTATCAGCACGTGTCAGCGAGTGTATAAGAAATCGTGGATCCTCAACACATTATTGAACCAACTGCTGCAGTCAGTTGAAGAATGAAGCTGAAAATTTAATCACTTTACTAGTAAGTGACACTGAACATAAATTATTAAAATCGGAAAAACATACGTAGGTGTTTAACTTTTTTTGTCACTCAGTATATGATCGTTTTTTCATAAAATTATTTGCGGAATCATATGCTGGGGTATCAGCACATCACTATAAGGAAAATCCTGTGCGGGTTTATTGTAAAACTCCATTTCTATGAATCAAAAGAACTTTGAAGGCAAATGGAATCGGATCTTTACTATTGTAGATTTAATTTAGATTGCCAGATTGATGATATCTTCTACCAATCATGATTTTAAACAGAGTCAATATTTATAATTGGGATTTGCAAGGTTTACTATGCTCACAACTATATTTGTGCCAACTATGGACTGATGCGGCAGGCAATCGAAACTATTTTTATTAGTTCTGAGGGAATTACCGCGACCCTACTTGGCAATATGGCTCTGAATATGCGAACGTCCAAGCACACCATCTTGCAAAATAAGTTTCGCGAAACTTTCAGTCGCTGCAACATGTTTCCATTGTTTGTAGACTACTTACCAGCAAGTCACTTCTTCCTATTAGATTCAAATCGATAGGTGCCACAACTACGAAAATCAGTTCATCTTGGTAATCAAACGCCATAGGTCGGTCAACTATAGATATCAACTTGTATGTTATGTTTCCTTCATCGCAGCTGTATGTTCCAGGAAGGTTAGTCGGTAAGACAATACTGAATGGGTACATGTGCTGACCAGCAGGTAAGGATGTTGTTCCGGAATCTTAAACATTAGCATCTTGAGATAGAATTGCCATAGACTCCATAGAGTATAAAGTAACAATCTGCATAAGTGCAAATGTCCAGATGTATTGTAGTATCATGGGACCAATAACAACGTAGGGTCAAAGTGCTGGCAGTTAAAATCAAGAATAGAAAGCCAGCTAGAAGAAGTAGAAATTGACTTTTCATGATGATCGAGTACAGTAACTGTGTAGAAGATCCAAAACTTTGAAAACAATAATACATGGACTAATAAGGGTATACAGGGTGACCCATCCATGTGTGGACGAAATATTACTCATAATCAAATACATTTTGGGAAAATCTATTTATGGAATGTTATACATGACAGTTGAGGGCACAGTTCTAAAATATTGGCAATTGTACAGGGGATTATTTAAATGGAATGCCTCAAATTTTATTGCATATTTGGATGAAATAATTCAAAAGAAGAATATTGATATAACATACTATGGGGTTTTGGTAATTAGCTACTGAGATTAAGGTGTTTTGTCCAGAAAAACCGTCCACTTCGGCAACCCCTCAACCCACCATTTTGATATTTTGAGTGCTGAATTTTGTATCAAAAAAAACTTACACACCCCAGCTTTTATCTTATTTATTACTTTTTAGAATTTTCATTTTTGCTCATACAGGGTTGTCAAAAACGCGAATTGTACTTTTTCACAAATATTTCAAATGCATCACCCTGTATATTTGTGCAAGTTTGGATTCAATTTTTTATAAGCCTTTTGTTTGGTATAAGGTTTGATTCTGATAAAATCACTAGATTTTGAGTTATTAAGCTTTTAATAGAACAACACACCAAAATTAAGAAAAAAAAATCACATCAACCATGGAAATAAAACAAACAGTGGGCTAGTTCCATATTGCCACTAAGAGTACAGATTTGACGTAAAAACTAGAACAGCATAAATCAGCTTCAACATAATAGAGAAAAACAACTATAACAACAACATAACCAAGCAACTAAAGACCTAATCTACAAAAACTGCTCGAAAATATCTCCACCATGTTGAATACACAGCCATAGTCTTTGGATAAATGACCGTTGCACATCCCTCAGCATATCTTCCCGTATGTTCAGAAAATCATCCTTAATCCTTTCCTTCATATTTTCCGGTGTAGATGGTGGATATCTATGAACCTCTTGTTTAACGTAGCCCCATAGAAAGAAGTCCATCGGTGTCATATCTGGTGATATAGGAGGCCAAGATATAGGCCCATCACGATCGATCCAACGATTGTTACTCCAGGTGTCCAAATAGATTATGATAATGCGCAGGTGCGCCGTCATGTTGGAAGTACATATGCATTCGAGTTTGCAGGTTGACATCCTAGAAAAGCAAATGCAAATGCTCGATCAAAACATTCAAGTATTCTGTACCTTGTAACTTGTCTGCCAATAACTCTTCCCCAAACATTCAAGCTCCATTTATTTTGGAAATCTATTTGCCTAACCCAATAAGGGTCTTCCATTGCATAATAGTGGAACACCTATGCTGTTAAAAGTCGCCTCATCGCTAAAAAGAACCTTATCCAGGAAAGTAGTGTCTTCAGTTACTTTATTTAGCATTATTCTACTAAAGTCCTGAGGACGAAGGCCTTGATGCAAGCATAGCTGATATGGATGGTACCTATGCTTGTGAATAATCCTTTGGACATAAGTTCTGCATAACCAGTTCCTGCTTCAATTTGTCGTGCACTTAACTGAGGACTTTCCTGCCACTTTAATAGAACCTCCAACTGATTCGCTTCATTGCTGACACTTGGATTATCTATACACTTTTTACTATATTCCACTGCTGCACTTGATTCAAAACGTTCTCGTAGTGTGGAAAATGTTTCTGGACTTGGATGTCGCATATTAGGGTACCGTTGCTTATAAATGCGAGATGCTAGAAAACTATTTCTTTGGCTTCGGCCAAAACGAACACCATATTATTATTAAAAAAATTCATTTTCAAACACGTTTTTATTATAATTTTGATAGTTTGAAACTAATCAACAATTTATTTGTTTCCAAGGATGATGCGATATTTTCGGGAATTAAGCCCTTCCATAAAAGACGTGCTAATAACCGAAAAAATAGCCATAACAACCCTTATGTGTCTAGTATCAAAAAAGCTTATAAAAAATTGAATCCAAACTTGCACAAATATGCAGGGTGGTGCATTTGTAATTTTTGAGAAAAACTACAAATTGCGTTTTTGACCACCCTGTATGGGCAAAAATTAAATTTGGAAAAAGTAACAAATAAGATAAAAGTTGAGGTGTGTAAGTTTTTTTGATACAAAATTCAGCACTATGAATTTCAAAATGGAGGACTGAGGGGTTGCCGAAGTGGGGGGGTTTTCTAGACAAAACAACTTATATCTCAGTAGCTAAGTACCAAAACCCCATAGTATGTTATATCAATTTTCTTCTTTTGAAATGGTTTATCCAAATATGCAATAAAATTTTCTTCCATTTGAAAAATCACAGCTTTGATATGAAGGTCGAAATTGGGACACCCTGTATAATGGCCAATATTTTATAAATGTGCCCTCAAATGTCATGTATAACATACAATAAATAGATTTTCCCAAAATGTATTTGTTTCAGAGTAATATTCCGTCCACACATGGATGGGTCACTCTGTATATACAGGATGATAATAGTATGTAGACAAACTTTAACCATTGAATCCTTGGTGAATTTGAAGACTAAATGTTCATATGAACATTGGTCGGTAATGGTTTTCTTTTCGCACTATCATTAAAGAAATACGAGTAATGTTCCAAATATTTCTATGAATAATGAAACGTATTTATTGAACAGTTGGTATAACCTATGATAAATTTTGTATGTTTTACAAGTTGCTGAGGCTCAATATGAACGTGGATGGAATTAGTATTATCCTGTATTTTTGGAAAAATTATTTAGAAAGTCAATAGTTTTGAACAGTAACATTCGAATAGAATGACAACAATATAAAATATCGAATAGTTTTTTACAATAAATGTTCAAAGTGACCACCTTCGACTTCAATACAGGCGTCTAGTCTGTTACACAGTGACTGACGAACTCTCCTGAAAATACCCGGCGTGTTTTGTATAGTCAGACATGACTCGACAATTTTGACCCTTAAGCCCTCCACGCTTTGAACAGGAGTCTTGTATACTAATGATTTCAAATGTCCCCATAAAAAGAAATCGATAGGATTCATGTCAGGCGATTTAGGCGGCCATGGCTGTGGTCCGCCTCTTCAAATCCATCGATTTGGATAATTATTATCTACGTATTCTCGCGCAACGACACTGACGTGTGGAATTTCCTTCATTAATCCAGGTAGGTAAAATTCCAAAAATCTTCGGTACTGTTCGCTGCTGGGCGGAAGGAAATTAGAGCCACTCAAGTGGTCACTAACGATTCCAATCCAAATATTGAAGGAAAAGTCGTGTTGCGTATTATGTTCAATTATGGTATGGGAATTTTCTTCACGCCATACATGGTTATTATGGAAATTTATTACTGTTGTTCGCGAAAAACATGCTTCATCCGTGAGTAGTATTCGATTTAAAAATGTTGATGAAATGTTACTTTTTCACGTAACCAGTTGCAAAAATCAACTCTTATAGGCAAATCTCGAGGCAAAAGCGCTTGTACACGTTGTATATGATATGGATAAAGTTGCTGATCTTTTAAAATTTGCCATACCGTTACATGATTTAAATTTAGCTGGTGCGCAATTTTTCGTGTACTTGTTGTAGGGTCCTCTTCGATTTTATTAAGCACAACTTCTTCGATTTCGATGGTTCTTACACTTGCGGGTCTTCCTCCAACATGCGTGGATCTTTTGAAATTGCCTGTTTCACATAGTCGAGCGTGAATGTTGATGAAAGTTTGTACAATAGGCAGCTGGCGTTGTGGAAATTGATCACCATACAAACGTCGTGCTCGTCGAGCGTTACCCAGAACCATTCCGTAAGCGAAATGCATATCTGTCATTTCTTGATTACTGAACTTGACCATTATGACAATTAGTAATCACCAAAACTTAGAAATTTTGGAGTCTTAGATTGACCAGACAAGAAAAAAAATATTTGACAGCTGTCGAATTATTTGAGAAAATAAATTAAATCAATTGTTTTCGGATACGCCATAGGTGTCTAGATAAGCGCAATGCTTAAATATTAAAAGTATTGCGATCAAAACAAATCAAAGTCATGCTATTTTTTCCAAAAATACTGGATAACATTATCCGTATCTACGTACATGGAGGGTCTAAAAACAACTGTGTGATATTCACCACAGGGCATTCTTGATTAAAATAAAATATGTTCCATTCTTTTATAATTTTTCTGAACAATATCATCATTTCTTTTACTGCTAATATGCTCTAGCTTGAAAACAAAGCCGTTGCGGACCCATGTTCATATGGATATTTCGTCTTCAAATTGACCAAGGATTCGATGGTTAAAGTTTGTCTACATACTTCAGTAACACCCTGTATATATAGAGAGACATATCAGTCGGAGCAAATATCGTATACTTACGCCCTCCATGTAGTATTAGTTCAGTAGCAAATGCATCATTATCTCCACGAAACTGTGTCATACGAGTTTCATGTTTATTCCTGGTGGAATCATAGTAACTTTCCTCTCCCATCCACTCAGTGTGTTCATGGCAAACTATTCGTACCTTTATCCCTAAAAATGTCAGTAGTTCTATTAAACGATACATTGAAAATAATACAATGAAAAGTAGCAAACGGCTAGAAATTTAGAGATTTACACTTAGTTAAAAGTTTGTATCTAAAGTGTGTTTGTCCCAACCATCAAGCTATGATACTATTCCAAATATTCTGTTAACTATACTGGCTGTAATCAATTCGCGACTTTCTTTATTAGTTGTCTGAAGTGTAACTTGCGACATATATTATATTATAAGAAACTTCAGCAACTTTTTTAATATAGTCAAAACATTTACTGAACTATAAGTTGTGGCTAATAGTGGTATTTTGCTTGACATTTGTAGGCAACACTGTTTTCATTAATGTAACATTGAAGCTTAAGCTGTTGATGTCTCATTGATTAATCTTCACGATCTGCCTTCACATGAAGCCACACATGTTGAAGTAAAAGCTCATTGATGTCAGAAGGCAGAATATGAATATTGATCATCTGTTTTCATTATTTGTGTGGTTTTGAGAGTCACGTTTTCCTTGAAGTGCAATCTTGATTCCCATATTTCAACTTTCACATATGCATTGTCTAACCTTATAAACATTGCATGTGCAATCAAGGTGAACATATTGTAGATAAAAAAAGATTCTGAAAATATACCTCTTAATTTTGTTTCACTATTGAAATTCAGTATCACTTTTCCTTGGATCAGGTTGCCTGGATAATACTGTCCTGTGTAGTTGTCAAGCCACACTTTGCATTGAGACATCCTCTTATACCTGCAATAAATAAGTAGCCTTTACAGTAATTCAAATGTGTTTTCCTCCATAATGTGGTATATGTTTCAATTAGTTTTAATAGTTTCAATGATTTTCGATAAACGAAAGGTTGTGTACCATATTTACTTGAATATAGTATAGTTATGTCATACATTACCATCTTTTCTTAAACCATTCCATTGATCAATTTATACAATCTCCTGATTTACATTTAATATTTAACTCTCATTTCTACCAAGTTCTACTAATCACTCATAACTTTGTTGCTTACTATTAATTATATATGTGTCTCACATTGGATCACATACCTATATTTTTTGCACATGATAAGAGACATGAGTCACATAGATAAAAGATTATCTTTGCTGAATATATGTTTCCCTGTGTTTATAAGAAAACGTATAAGTGTCAGTCAGTCTTGTTAATGTTTCATCCAAGGATTTGTTGAGTATTCCACCATAATAACATCTTTTCCCCTACAGACTTTGTGAAGAGCTGGAGATAGCACTTTTCCTTATCGAGGGGAAAGGGCTGGAGGAAGACTCTTGAAACGTCTCTATTCGCCATTTTTTGACAGCGCAGTTCATAGGACCTTTGCTCTTGGTCACCTCTTGATTAAAGTATTGTAGGACACTAGGTATGTCAGGTCAGGTTCCCAGATACTAGACAAAGTCAGGGTGAAAATTTCCCTGTGTTTATAAAAAAACTTACAAGTATCAGTCAGTGTCAGTTCTTGTTAATGTTTTATTCAAGGATTTGTCGAGTTTTCCACCATAATAACATCTTTTCCCCTATAGAGTTTGTGAAGAGCTGGAGATAGCACTGTTCCTTATCGAGGGGAAAGGGTTGGAGGAAGACTCTTATTCGCCATTTTTTGACAGCGCAGTTCATAGGACCATTGCTCTTGGTCACCTCTTGGTTAAAGTATTGTAGGACACTATGTATGTCAGGTCAGGTTGCCCAGATACTAGACAAAGTCAGGGTGAAATTTTCCCTGTGTTTATAAAAAAACTTACAAGTATCAGTCAGTGTCAGTTCTTGTTAATGTTTCATTCAAGGATTTGTCGAGTTTTCCACCATAATAACATCTTTTCCCCTACAGACTTTGTGAAGAGCTGGAGATAGCACTTTCCTTATCGAGGGGAAAGGGTTGGAGAAAGATTCTTGAAACGTCTCTATTCGCCATTTTTTGGCAGCGCAGTTCATAGGACCTTTGCTCTTGGTCACCTCTTGGTTCAAGTATTGTAGGACAGTAGGTATGTCAGGTCTGGTTGCCCAGGTACTAGACAAAGTCAGGGTGAAAGGAGGAAGTACGTCAGTTGGAGGGGTGCCTTGGTGGCATTGTTAACTAGTGCTGGGTAATTTTGAGGAGATCTAAAAATTTTATTTTTTTGTTGCACCTAAGATCGCACGATTTAATTTTGTTCATAGTGCGAGTTGTAGTCTTGTGTTGCACTCTTGTAATGTGTAGAAAAGCAAAATAAGTATAAATAGGGGGCAGTACAGCTTCTAGGCAGAGCTGACTACCAATATTTCTATTATTATATGGGATGTCAAAACACGAAGCACAAAAATATTCCCACAATCTCTTTACAAGCACCCCTTACTCCGACCCTGTCTTCCCTTCCTTCGATCCATTGCATAATAGCAACGTTGCCGTTGTGCTTCAATCTTTTTCGGAAACATTATGTATTCAATACAATCAGGATATCAAAATAACAGGTAGATTGGCCCTATTTCTTCCAATCCATGATATAAGTTTATTTAAAATCAGCCGCACGTACGTTTTGCAGATTATGAAAGTTATTTTTTGATTCCCTTCAGAATGAGATATTCAAGAAAGAATAACTGTGCATTATTGACTTTTTGCAGTTCAAGATTCACAAAAACTAGTTAAGTAATAGTATATGTTATGATAAGTGAGTTGAACATGGTTGAGTAGGTATCTATAGCTACAATAGCAGATGTGCCGCAAATATTGAATTGATATACGAACTTCAAACAACAGCAATTTATTGGTATATTTCCGCACGGGTATTACGTATCTTTAAAAGTGACATATTGTCGGTTATTTGACATTTCTTACGTTTTTTGTGACATAACGTAGGTTTGATTTTTCTACAAGATGTTACCGTAGCAAAAGCTGTTGTACACTTGTGAACTCGTGTTGCTGTACATAGCGAGCAATCGTGGAATGAACTAAAAACTACCTAGTCTGCAAGATGAGATTTCATCGGTGTTTTTTGACGTTTCTTCGGTTTTTTTAATAATACCCCTGCCGATTTTACTTAAAATTCTATGTATATTGACTGAATATGCTAATTATTTGAACTGAAAACCAGAATCTTTTCCAGTGAAACGAGAACATTGTCACATAACGGCAACAGTGTTTAAGATCCAGAGTCCACGACGTTGTCATACGTTAGCTCTAAATTGGATACTTTGTTGTCATTTAAATAAACAATTATCCGGAATTCCGGATAGGAGAATTTCTTCTAGAATATAGATTCTTTAACAATCCCCTTATGGTTATTTCATCTTTGCCTGAATCATTGAATGAAACTTAAATCGCATGATATAAAAGTAAGATATTTTGATATCAGGAAGATGTATAATACATCTTGGTGTTACCGACAACTTGGCAACCCTGAGCAAGCGGTTCATCAAGGACATCACCCATACAACGCAAACAAAAATATCTAACCTATTCCATATTCCTTACCTTCTAAAATTCTCCAATTGATTTTACTTCTCTCCAATAATACAGAGAAACAAGACAATTAATTGGCCGATAAGGCACTCACGGTTTTATATTAAATCAGGCACTATTTCAGAAAATCTCTGACACAAGGATCGTAAACACTTGAATTCTCTGCGATGGCTAGAGCGGTGAAGTTACCCGTCTCCAGTGGCGCACCAAAAATTGATATTGATACCATGGAATGCGTCTATCTATATTTAAATATGATAGCACAACAAACACTGAGACATAGTATTCTTACATTTTATTCACTACCATGGTTTCCGCCGCAATGCTTACCTTGCGTTTGAAATGCCCGAACTCGTATGAATACGCATTCTGTTAAAATGTTATTTAGGAAATACCTAGTAATTATTAATTGGTTGCTTAACGATGTGTACAAATAGTAATACACGCAATCGCAGGATACTTAGTAATTATAGAAATCGTTTAGTTGTGATATATATTATTTAAATATACAAGGTGGCTTTAAAAAAATGCAGTTCCATGATGCCACAAGCCAACATTTTTGAAGTACCTGGGGGTATATTAGCTTAAATGCTATATCTATCACAATACTTTTTTATAACATTTATTCCTTCCATTTTTTTTTCTGATAGTCAGCAGCAGACTCAGCATAGTGTTGTGATTGGACTGATGCGCGTAACTATTGTTTCGACAGGAGAGAAATAAATCTTAGATCTGAATCATCCAATATCGGCAATATCCGAAAGAGTTCAATGTTTCTCATTACCCCGGGGGGTAATAAGGCGACTTTTTAAGTTATTACAAGATTTCCTATGTTAAGGCTTAAATGATATATCCTAAATCAGACTTTGGATTGGGAACTTTGGAAGTAGATTCGCTTAGAAATATTGTACTTGAACGACTAAGAGTTTCGATTAAATACAAATAAACAGTCCATCAATATAGATCCTAGTTAAACTAATGATAACGATACTTATTCATCAGAGTTTTGACAATAAAACAATTCCTTATCGTTTCTGGTCAACCCTACGTATTCTTCGTGGTACCATATGTGACATTTGACACACTGTGTCTCATATCCGACACACGATTTTCCTTCCAAGCACAGCAAAACCAAGATTCTTCTGATGGAACTTTGCTTCTTTTTCTTTCATCACTATGCGATCGTTGTTGGTTTCCATCTTTAGTTTTCTTTTCTGTTTCTTTGATTTTTCTTTTGTAATTTTTCAGTGTTGCTTTCTTCGTCTTCTCGTTTTCATTCAATGCTTATCGTTCTTTGAATAGGTCTTTGGCAATTCGTTGACCTTTATAATTAATAGCTTTTCTCCTAGGCTTATTTTCTGTCACAGCATAGTTCGGAGTTGGCAATAGCTCTTGAAAAGGAGACCTAAATTTCTTAGCTTTGAAGTTAGCTAAAGGTATGTTGTCATCAGAACTGAAACTATCGCTGTCTTCGATTTTTCGTTTAGAACAATATATATTATCCATGAGCAGTGATGATTTGTTTGATGCTAGTTTTGTTCTCTGCTGTACAATAGTCGTTTCAGTAACTGTCTCGGATTCTGAACTATAAATCACATGACGACGATATATAGGAGACCTGTGTAGTCTTGAAGTGGAAGGTTGTGGTCACTGCATCATAGTGATAACGTTTCTACTAATGATCTGTATCTTTTTAGGTGTTGTTTCTACATTACTCTAGATTACACTAGATCTTTTCAGATGACTGGATGATGTCTTTATGTTGTTGATTAGTATTAACCGTCAAGGCATGCGGATCTGTGGCGCTTTGGGCAGAACTTTTTTCAGGTAAATGTGGAGGCTGCTCTAAAAGAAATGGAGAATCGCCATTGTTCTGAGGCTGTTCTTCTCGCTGATTGACACAATCTATTTTGGAGCCGACTGCAGCACTGGGTTCTGTTGGTGGCGGTAGCTCAGTTAAGATAGATGGAATATATGCCTCGTCAGGTATCTGATATGTCCGGATTGAAAGGGTATAGGCCTGTAGCCCGAAAACCGTTTACTATATTTTCATGGGTCAAACATTGTGACCAGACCCTTCTGAAAATTGCGTTAAAACTGGTTTTCGTTATGCGTCTTTCCGGATTTTGGTACATGTAATTCAGAACCTCCTGATCCCAATAATGATCAAATGAAATATTAACGGATTTACCGAGGGGCTGTAGCTCATGAATTGGGAGGCAATATAGGACTATGTCATGACGGCCTGCTCCCTCAGCAATCGTATAATCTAAATCTGATGTCGCTCCATCGAAGATTAATAAAATTTTCCCTTGAACCCTATATTTTGCCAAATGTTTGATGAACTCAAGAAATAATTCGGTTGTCATACTTCCTTTCGGTGACATTTTTACGTACATTTTTACGAAACTGCCGGATGGTAAATTGTCACTAAATTCAGGTTTCTGCCTCTGCCCTTTAAATATTGTCATTGGTGGAATAGCTGTCCCGACAGCATTGGCACACACAGCGATCGTTACCTTTTGAGCATGCTCTGGCGTAATTAGATGAACTCGTCGAGCTCCTTTTTGTGCTAAAACAGTCTGTTGATCATGAACAGTCAACTGGCATCCATTTTCATCTATATTGTAACGTTTTTCTGGATGCGTTGCTATATCAAGTTCTTCATATAATTTCTTAACTTCTTCAAAGTGGTGACTTACGATTGGTCTGTTCACCCTTTGCGCCCTGGCTGGATTCATGAACTGTGCCTTTCGTTTTGAAATTTCTGGATGTCGCTTCAAAAACATATTTAGCCAGTCTTTGCCAGCAAGGCCAACTTTTTTTGGTTAAAATTATGTTTAAGTTCATATTTTTCGCAAAAGATGAAGCTTGTCTACGAATATTCTTAGGAGTAAGTGGCATCCCAATATTCGCGAATCTTATGATTCTGTTAACAAGATTGCGTTCTTGAGCTTCATTCATAATAGAACTGCATCCTAGACGTCTTATTATACTTCCACTTTTTAGGTGGTTCCTCAGCGTACGTCTAGGTATGTTATATAGGTCTGCTGTACCACGCTGCGTCAACTGCCCTCGTTCTACAGATTCCATAGCAGAACGTAAGTTTTCTTGCGTCCTCTGAGCTCGTCGTGGAGGCATATCTGTCCAGTCTGTAAGTAGAAAACATATGTTGAGTTGTGGTAATAAGGCCCATGACCTATTTCAGTGGGCCTTATTAGCCGCTTAGCATTATTTTTATAAAACCATCAATTCACAACAAAAAGAGCTCTTATTTTCGATTAAAACCATAGAAATTATATACTATTGCATCTGATGTTTAATAAAATTACGCTACGCTATCGCTTAATAACAAATGAATAAGAATACTTACATTTCTTCATCACTAATAATTATAAATCGGAGTGGTGTAGCGCACTCTTGTCACAAATCGTTGGCCACTGGCAAAAATGGCGGCGCGTGTCGGCCGCATCCTAACGTCGCGGTGTACCTATCGGTCTTACGCATGTGCGAGTTCAGTTTGAACCGGGATAGAAGTATTTTAGCGCGAGTTTTTGAATGTGACCCTTATTACCCCCGGGCCTTATTTGCCGCAGGCACCTTATCTCTAATATTTTGTCCGCTTCAATGAAGGGTGTTTCGCATAAGAACAGATATCGAGCATGGGCATGTCGGGGAACCGAAATATTGTAATTTAACGTAGCTTACCCGATAAAACTTATAGACCGTTGAACTGGGATTTCAAATTTCTGAAAAAATTAACATATCTCAGTTATTCTTAACCCAGAAAAAGCTAAAATTGGTACACGATTTGAGAGCCCCAAACAGAGTTGACCGACAGTTATTTAAGTTTGATTGAAGCATTTTAAGCGAACACAAAGTGAATAAAAGGTAGTTCCAAGGTAACATTTTTTCGGAAAAACACACATAATGTCATTGAAAATTTATATAATGTCGCTTTTTAAGTTACGTAATATACCACTTAGTTAACGCACGGCACCGGTATTACGTAATTTAAAAAGTGACATATATTTATGACACTATGTGTGTTTTTTGACATTATATGAACTTTCCTATTAAATTTCACCTTTGAACTAGCTGACATTCACTTCATGCTCACTTGTAGTTGGCGCGGAATGAACTAGCGGCACACTATCGGCTACCTAGTGAGCAAGTTGGCATTTTACTGATGTTTTGGACATTATGTTGATTGCTCACGTGAGTACTATACAAAGACATACCGCCGTAGCAATGGTACCCAAGTATAGAATGCAGACATATTATTCATTTTATGTTGATTTCCGGCAACATACAAGCGATCCATTGTCGGTCCAACCTCAAACATTAGTGAGCGTATTTGCTACTTTGTTACTCTGAGCGGCAAAGCTGTCATTTGTGTGAGGTCCTTGGTAAACGTTAACTTTAGGTGTCCAACTGCGATCATACATTTTGTATATTTAGCATGGTTTTGCATATAAACTTCCACAATTTACAAAATGTTGCCTATTGCCGATGATCGCTATCCCCAACACAAATCTCGAAAAGCCAGAATAGACACTTTCTCCGGTAAAATAAAATGTAACACATCTCACACAACCCTGTAAGGTTTTACTTTTCGCAACGTTACGATTTTTATGTCCCTACCGTTGCAAAAAGCAAGAGCAAACCTCAGCGAGAACCGATAAAAGCTGAAGAAAAATAGGTTCTATTTAAAATAACAAAAATTCAAAAAGTAAAGCGGTCGCCGCGGGAAGCGAGAAGTGCGAAAACATTCTATATTTCACCAGAATTGATTCATTTGTTTTCGATTGAAGGAAAATCCGGCAGTAGTTGGAAGGGAGGCGCATCTAGATCGTTCTCCAGGATATTATTAGCAGAGCACATGGATTTATTTCTGTCGAACTTTCACACAATTTTCTTTCGAGGTAATGCAAAATTACTTTCTGACGAGTTTTTAAAAGTTTATCCAAATGCTAGATTGACGGTATTCCTGTGATGACAATAACAGTATAATAAGTCACTGATATTGGAACCTTCGGCGTAGCAGCAACAACCAAAGGTTATCGATATTGCTATTTTTGTATACGTCTAATATATGATGTTGTTACTTTTTGATATCAGTGATTTAAAACCTGAGCAAAATATCGCGATAAAATCGCATGGAGCCAACTACCAAAGCCTAAAAGGCACAATATCGCTTGCAGGCCATAGTAGTCTTATGGTGGTATACAATTCTTGACCTTAGCAGTAGCCGTGAAGCGGCTAGTTCCCGAAGTCGTGACCATGTTGGGTCGAACACTTAAATTCGGTATTTGAATACGAACCCAGAATACTGTATTCTAAATTGTATCCGAGTACTCAAGATTCGAATACAAAGGTAAAAAGTATTCGAATACCACTGTTCTTAATACTTGGAATACTTTCTATATTCCAACTAAAAAAAAACATATGAAGAGTTGCCAAATAGCACGAAACAGCTGTCCATGGTTAGCCGCCTGTGAAAGAACGAACGAAAGCTACATTTCTAACATGTGTGCACTTTTAACTTGATTTTTATTTATGTACTTGAGCTTTAAAAATATATAAAAAATTAAAAAACCATATATTACCATATTAAATAAAATTAAATAAAACTTAAAGTATCATTTTGTTACACAGTGTCACAGTGAAGTTTGATAAATTGATTCTATAATAAAAAAACATTCTTTAATTTTTATTAAATTTTTATCTAAAATTAATAGAATAAAATTTAATAAGAAAATATATGAATCTTACACTATGTGCATATGTAATTATAAAATAAACTTACCTCTTTATATATCTACTTTATCTGGCATCACATACAAATTATAACAGATACTACAATTTATTATAAAATAGAATCTCAATACTGCACAAGCTCATGTGCATACGTAATCTCATCTCGTTCCTTAAGCGACCTGTCGGCATCGCGAATTTAGAAGCACCACCATCGACTCAAACTAAATAACTTTGCTTAGCTATTTGGTTTGTGCCATTCACAACCACACTCAAGCTGCGCAAAGTGTGACTCAATATTCATAAGAACAACCAAACAGTATTCGAAAACAGAGATCTGAATACCAATGGGTATTCGCATATTGGGATTCAGACATCGTATTCAGAATGCCGAGTACAGACCAAAAAAGTATTCCGTCGAATACCAAACACCAAATATGTTACACAAAGGTATTCAAATACCAGCCAAATGTATTGTGAATAGGATTCAAAATATCGAGTATTCGAATACCTCCTAAGTCTGATGATAATTATTAATAACGGTCTCGATTCGTGATTTAGATATATCAGTTAAATCAAGTTTCGTGAAATATCTGCCACCATTAACGGTAGCTACCACAGGGTTTTGGCACTCGTTATACCGATTGCGTCTATTACCCCAAATTGCCTATCTACAAGATAAGTGTTATGAATATAATGGACTTTTATTCAAAAACTAAAAAAAAACAGCGCTTTTGGTGGGGTTGATATATCATCGAATGTGATGTCTTCCGGCTCCGAATATAGATTGGATATTAAAATGCGCAAATTTAACGATTCTGTAGAATAAAACATATAGGGTGATTTAATAAACAATCACACGATTTCTAGAACAGGAAATATATCAATGAATATTAGAAAAAGTTTCTGTAAACTTAGATATGTCTTTAGATCTGCCATCACCAAGATTCAAGATGTGCGAAATTTCTACGGCGCTAATGAGATTCATTAAGAACAAAACATGAATATGTCGTGAGGTTAGGATTTCTCCCCTAATATTGATACTACATACAATTCTTAAGGTCAAATTCCACCAGTATTAGTTGTTCAAAGAATAACAGATTGAGTATTCTATACGGATTATACCTCAAATATCCAAACGAATTTTACTACAAATGAACTTTTCGGGCCTTACCTAAAATGCAGTTGATCCATCAGGAAATTCATTAGCATATATATTTTTCTTCTCCGTTCTGTTGGGGTAAAAACATCCCATATTCTATGCCACTGGTGTCATTACAGCCATAATAGATGTTTGTATTGGCTATGCCGTTTTGATGTTGGTGCAGGTACAAAATTTTAAATTCACGCCTTTTCCACTTCGAGATATGAATTTGAATAATGTAATACCTGAACCATATGCTCAAAATACTGTATTCAAGTGACAATTATTATTCTGATGACAATATATATATATATATATATATATATATATATATATATATATATATATATATATATATATATTTTGGTTATCTGTATTCCAGGTGAGATTTCGTGTATAGTAGTAGCACAACTTATATAACAATCAGCTACGAAACTCTCCGTTCAGTGTCAAAAACGGTCGCCTTTTCGGTGGAGAAAATCACATGTAAATTCCCCTAGTACAATGATGAAAGAGTTTTTATTGTTCAGCAGCAGCCGGAGTTGCCGCGCGTACCATGTCAGCGGCAGCAGATACTCTTTGCAAACGTAAAAATAATTGTATTCCGATATGGTCTATTTTAGTTTGTGTGAACCAATTATAAGTACGAACATGTTTCTCCAAAAAGAAGCGACGAAGTATTGATCACTATTTATTTACGAAAAAGCTTTAAGATAAATTTGCAATGGTATTTACAATAAACGGGAAATATTTACTTTTTCCATGTATTCTTCGCTGCTGCGATATTCTCAATCCGTTGCATTTTCAAAACACCAAACAAACACAACATACACTGAAGCACAAGAGGTTCTGTGACTTTGTTGTGGAAAAAACGAGAGCAAACCATCTGCAAAGTGACAACCAACACAATCAAACTTGACACTTCTGACGACTCCCCAGGGCAAGTTTTGAATGTTTAAGCTGTTGGTATATAGTAAGATATTTTACATTCGTCAAAAAGTTGGTTATAAAAATTGTAGTCAACTTTACGCTCCTTACTTGGACAGTATGCCGATCTCCACGGGATGATTCATAATTACATACCAACACAAACATACATTTTTTTTAAGGAATTTTATTCTTGGCTCATTCTAAACAAAAACTATACACATACCATAAATCGGAGCGGTCAACCTTAGGAGAATTTACCGAAGACCTCTTTTGTTTAGAATGAGCGAAGAAAAAAATATTCATGTTAAACGGTTTAATTTTACTGATGAATAATGTTTCTTAAAACTTTCGTTGAAATGTTCATGTGGGCTTAGACTAAAATCTGAGTGTTTATACTTTCTTACCAAACAGTGGCGGATTAGCAAGAGTAGGAAATGTTAGGAGCTTCGCGCACCAACGCCAAAAGGTGTAATCGCCTGGTAGATTCATTCATTCATTCATCATTTATTGGTCTCTGCGCCTTTCGCACAATCAACCAGCTTAATTTGAAGTGCTCTGGGTATATACAGTATATTCAGATAAGAGATAGACCGGATGTAAACAAAAGGTTCGGGTGATTTTCACGCTAACGCCGCCGTCTCGACGTAAAGCAGGAGCCCTCATTGGTCAATTCGCAATTAATTGCCTATGCCGAGCGGCAGAGCAGTCGTATCAAGGCAGAGTCACATTCAGGTTCAGACGTGTTACGTATGTCGTGTGCATCATTGCAATTTGATATTTCTTTGGACGTTTTCGTTTGTTATCTTATTAAGTTGTTGAGTTTGTCGTTGTTATTGTTATACCTTGTTATAATTATAGGCTAATTTAAACGCCATTTTGAGATTATATTCGACTGTATTTCACTAAACATCAGACGGCATCCGAAGCTGGAAATCGAAGCGAAAATTTTGAAACCCTTATGTATATTTACATCATTATATATTTCTTACACCACCCCCACATGATCCTATATCCATCACCAATCGTATACACATCGAATTGTGCTAATTTACTACAAAGTTACGCAAAGCAGCATCTACTATCTAAAATATGTACTGCGTGACTCTTAATACGTCCCTGCCGAATGTTACAGCGTTCGATGATCACGTGGTCTTGTTTATGTCCGGTCTATCTCTTATCTGAATATACTGTAGACACTGATTTTTTTATTAACTTAATCGATGAAATGCACTCAATTCTCTAGCCGATTTATCAGTAGCTCGACACTCTGAGACAACGGGCTGCCCAGGGCCCTATCTCACTTGGTAGAGACATCACTGATGCAGCCGCCACTACCATCCCCCCACTCTTTGAGTTTCAATCGCTCCTGCGCCCCTTGATATGATTTGTTACTGACCCCATGCTGTAGTCAAGATAGCATTACTTCAAAGAAATATCACTGCTGTAAAATATAAAGCGTTATAGAATTACTAATTGATGTTGGGAACTGTGGGATATGAAGCTAATCTTGCCAAAAAGTCTGCTACTTTGTCTGCAAAAGTGACTCACACGCTATAGAAGAAAATATACCAAAATATATAGGATAATTCATTTGAAAAGTATATGTTTGTGTTGTCATGTAAATATTGTAATGAGCTGCATACAATTTTTATAACTACCCTTTTTAGGTATTTAAAATATCAGAACTATGGACCGGTTACACATTAAAGACTCATTGCTGGTGGTTTGAGCTCGTGTTTTCCGTGACAAAGACACCGAAATTCTGAACGTTGTATTTGTCTGGTATTTTTAGCAATGTTTACATTGGAAATACAGAGGATTGATAATATCGCAGCAGAAAAGGATACATGGAAAACATTTTTTTCCGTTTAGTGTAAATACTACTACTTTTTAAAGCTTTTTGATAAATAAATAGTCACCAATATTACGTCGTTCCTTTTTGGACAGTTCCATTCCTTTTTATTATTGATTCACACAAACTGCACTAGACCACATCGAAATATTATTTTGCGATTGCAAAGGATATCTGTGGCCGCTGGTATGGTTCGCGGCAACACCGGCTGCTGCTGAATATTGAAACCTCTTTCACAGTTGTACTAGGAGAATTTACATGCAAATTTCTCCCCCGCAATAGCGGCCTTTTTGACACTGACAGAGGAGTTTCATAGCTGATTGTTATCCTAATCTGTGATAGTAGTAGCAGCACACTACATAAGAATGCCAAAAAAAACAAACAAGTTGTTATCAGAATTGTTATTTGTACTTGACGTGGTGTCCAAAACGTCATCAGTAAACAATGTGGGATGTCAGCGAAAAAAATTTGAGTGTCCATGAAATGAATATGGTGGTCCACGATAGTGGATGTCAACATATACACTGATGTACCTATTTACTTACATCATACTATCTTATAATATCAAAACATATACATTATTTATAAAAGTACCTATGAAGTAAAAAATTTATTATATATGTTTATAAAATTGTGTAAGTTGTAGGATGTTGGTATTCGCTTTGTGGTCGCAATACATTTTGAACTTGTAAAAACCTGAGAGACGCAGTCTCAGAGCTTCGCTACCTTGCACTGACTTGTTCAATTCGTCACTCTATAAATACGAATGTGGGTAAAATACGTTTATTCGTTTCCTGAATCTTGAAAAGGAAAGTGCTAAGAAAATATTTTAAAAAATATAAACATATAGTATATCACACAAATTATAGTGAGTCAGTGTTATTTTGTTTGAGAGTGCTGGAGAAAAGTAAGTACATTATTTTTTATTAAATTTTAGTTTTGTACTCGTAGTTAGCAAAGATAGATAAATTACGCCAATCATGACTTTAGTTATTAGTAGTTAAATATTCAATCATGCAAACTTACACGAGTAGTCCTCAATAGTTTCTTTTTGAAAGTTTTAGCAATCGGTAATATAATTACAGTGCAATCTCCGTAATTCGAGCTAATTGTTGCAAGAAGATGTTCGAATTATGGAATGTTTTCGGAAAAATCTAAAAATATTTTTAATATACATGTTGATTATTTGAAATTTGGCTTCATTCCATCATTGCCGGACAAACAATCGCCTATGTGCCTTTTATGCAACAAAGTTTTGGGCAATGACGCTATGAAACCATCTAAACTGCAAGATCATCTGAGAAGATGCCACCCTGATAAAACAGAGAAAGATTTGAAATACTTTCAAACACTCAAAGATAAATTTCAGAAGAGACCTACACTGGACAGAATGTTCGCTTCGACGTCACAAAGAAATGATGATGGTTTGCGGGCGTCTTACAATATCTCGTTACTTATTGCAAAATCCGGAAAACCGCATACTATCGGAGAGAAGTTAATTTTGCCAGCCGTTGAAGAGGTTTTAAAAACTGTTTTACACAAACCTGCATCTGATATCATTAAAAGAATTCCCTTAAGCAACAATACTGTTGAAAGACGTATTGATGAAATGAGTTCTGATATTGAAAGCTTCTTATGTAATTATTTGCTAACGACCCATTTCTTTATACAACTGGACGAGTCAACTTTACCTGATAATGCAGCATTATTATTGGTATATGTTCGTTTTATTATGAATCAAGAAATCTACGAAGAACTGCTCTTCGCAAGAACTTTGATAACCGACACTAAAGGTGAATCAATATTTCATGTTTTGAAGGATTACTTCATTGAAAAAGCAATTCCTTTATCAAATATAATATCAGTAGCTACAGATGGAGCACCTGCCATGGTTGGACGTTATCGTGGATTTATGAGCTATTTAAAACAAAATGTGTCAGTGGTGTTAGCAATACATTGCGTCATCCATCGACAACATTTAGTTGCTAAAAATTTGAGTGTTAGATTGCATGAATCACTTCATTCAGTGATTGATGCAGTAAACCGAATCCGAAGCAACGCGTTGAATACGCGGTTATTTGCGCAGTTGTGTGAAGAAAATGACGAACAGTTTCATCAATTACTCCTTCACACTCAAGTACGCTGGCTGTCGAAAGGCTTATGTTTGACAAGATTTTTTGCACTTTTTGAGACTATTTTAGAATTTCTGGATACTAAAGATAAAATGTTAAAAGAAAATTTAATGAAGACGAAAACAGACATCGCCTATTTAACAGATTTGTTTACAAAATTTAATATGGTTAATTTGCAATTACAAGGCGACAGTTTAAATTTGATTAAAACAAAGTCCATCTTATCAGCGTTTCTTGCCAGAGTTAAACTAATGAAGCAAAATATTGGACGGGGCGAATTTTCTCAGTTCCCCAATTTGTCACAGACAAGCTGCCAGGAAGACGACGTTTCAACTTACGTTCAACATTTAAATGCCCTCTATTCAGATTTTGAATCTAGGTTTGAGGATATTTTGACTATGGTAATACCACCGTGGATAAATAATTAATCCATATGGTGACATAGAAGAAACGAATGTCATTATACAAGAGGAACTCACTGAACCTAGAACAAACGAAGAACTTAAGGTTCAGTTTAAAAACGGATATCAGCA